GCGCCAACTACCGCGGGATCAGTCTTTTAAATATCGCATATAAGGTTCTGTCAAACGTACTATGTGAAAGATTGAAGCCAATCGTCAACCAACTGATTGGACCTTATCAGTGTGGCTTCAGACCTGGCAAATCCACTCTAGACCAGACACGTGCGTCAAATCCTGGAGAAGACTCAAGAAAAACAAATCGACACACACCACCTATTTGTCGACTTCAAAGCTGCTTTTGACACTACGACTAGAAGCACACTCTATGCCGCTATGTCTGAATTTGGTATCCCAGCAAAACTTATACGGCTATGTAAAATGACGTTGAGCAACACCACCAGCTCCATTAGAATTGGAAAGAACCTCTCCGAGCCGTTTGATACCAAACGAGGTTTCAGACAGGGTGACTCCTTGTCGTGTGACTACTTTAACCTAATGTTGGAAACGATAATTCGAGCAGCAGATTTAAACCGTACTGGCACAATATTCTACAAAAGTGTAATGCTGCTTGCGTATGCCGACGATATTGATATCATTGGTCTGAACACCCGCGTCGTCAGTGCGGCATTTTCCAACTTAGAAAAACAAGCAAAGCAAATGGGTCTTGTGGTAAATGAGGACAAAACAAAGTACTTTCTGTCAACAAACAAATCTCCTGAGCGTCTTGGGACCTACGTCACTGTTGACAATTATAAGTTCGAAGTTGTGAAAGACTTTGTTTATTTAGGAACCAGCTTAAACACCAAAAATGACGTCAGCCTAGAGATTCAACGAAGAATTACTCTTGCCAACAAATGTTACTTCGGGCTAAGTAAGCAATTGAGAAATAAAGCCCTCTCTCGACAAACAAAAATCACGCTCTACAAATCCCTTATCATGCCTGTCCTGCTGTATGGTGCAGAAGCTTGGACAATTACCAACAGTGATGAGAAGGCGTTAGGAGCATTCGAGAGAAAAATTCTTCGGAAGATCTATGGGTCCCTTACGCGTTGGCGACGAGTATCGAATTAGATGGAACGATGAGCTGTATGAGCTATACCGCGACATTGACATAATTAAGCGCATAAAAATTCAGCGGCTACGCTGGCTTGGTCATGTCGTGAGAATGGAAGAAAGTGCTCCGGCTAGAAAGGTATTTGATTCGATACCCGAAGGTGGAAAACGCGGTAGAGGACGTCCGCATCTTCGGTGGAAGGACAAGGTGACCAACGATTTGGGGGCGCTCGGTACTACCAACTGGCGTCAGAAGGCAACTAATCGGGCTGATTGGCGGAGGCTACTCGACGCGGCCAAGGACGACACACGTCTGTAATGGCCAACTAAGTAAGTAAGTAGTAAATATTCTGTTCGCCTCACCATTGACCAGATATTCATATCGTGACAATCCTGGAAAACTTCACAAACATACCATAATATCGACACTCACCACCTTTTTGTCATTTATAAAGCAGCTTTTGATAGCTCCTTAAGGAATTGCGTTTACGCCGCAATGTCTGAGTTCGGTATGCCTGCAAAGTTGATATACCTCTGCAGAAAGACGTTGAGCAACACCCGAACCTAAGACAAGGTAGGTTCGAGACAAGGTAGGTTCGCGGCAGAAAATGACAGTAGTTTTCTCATCACGGTCTCCAACGGTTTCTGTTTAAAGGCCGAAAGCATTTGCCTCGGAACACAAAGTGGATTACCAAACAAAGGTCTACCTTCAAAGGTCTAACATAGCTTCAGTGTCGCCCACAATCCCAACAGCACAAGTGAAAGGGACTGCGTCCAACTGCTTGAGGAATGACACCGGATAGCCGACATCAATGCCCTATGGAAACGCTCTACCATGCCATTCGCTTGAGGGTGATTTGACGTAGTACGGAAATGATTCACTCTAAGCAATCGTCAGTTTCCAAGACATCCAGATCTCAGATCCTTAATCTATGTTAGCTTGGCAGCTTTATTTATGTGAAGTAGTTTAAGCACTTTGTAAGGACGGAAATTTTGACACCAAATTTCCGCCTACATAAAAACTAGGCACTGAATTAACACAGGTTATTTTAAACAATAAAAGAGGAAAATTGTAATTTTTGGTTAATTTAATTTTATTTATTTACAATAATTTGATCATTTTATTTTAAATAAAAAAAAAATTATTTTTATTGACGATTTAAAGCGCGTGTTAGAATAACAAACTGTGAAGACAAAACACGACGAAAACAAAACACAAAAGCGCAGCGGCTTCACGGCAAAGATTATAAACACAGCGGTTACACTGCACAACCCAGTGGGTAAACGAACGGGAAAATTTAAAATACGCTAGAAGAAAGCTCCCGCGTATGGGTATTTAAGACAGCGAAATTATGAAGCAGGCACGAGTTTATGAGCATTCGTCAAGGTGGTATTACGCCAAAAATATATAAATAAAAATTATATATGTCTATGAAACATATATATTCATAAGAAATATATGTATAAATATTAAAATCCTGCGTTGGTTTTTACGGCAAAGGATAGGAAATTATATATGTCTATAAACCATATATACATCCATAAGAAATATATGTATGACTATTAAAATCCTGCGTTGGTTTTACGGCAAAGGATACGAAATTATTATACACATATTTGAAGGAGTAAATAATTCGCACGGACATATTATGAATATTCCGTAGCGTAGTCTCAGAAGAACTACACGCCATCTCACGACACTCGTCCGCAGAATCTTCGTTATTTATTCATAGAAACTCAGCGCTCGTCCATCGAATCTACGGCACAGCTAGGTATCGCCTGGATACACGAATATCTTTGAAGAAGAAAATATATAATAGTACATAGAAACTCAGCGCTCGTCCATCAAATCTACGGCACAGCTAGGTATCGCCTGGATACACGAATATCTTTGAAGAAGAAAATATATAATAGTACATATTTTTTTTATATATTTAATAATACATATTGAGTTTTGTTTTTTTCCTTTTATTATATCTTTATTTTGTTACGAGTTTTATTAAATCAATTCTATTTTTCGCACGATTATCTAAATAATTTTGTTATGAATATATACTGAAGCAATAAAGAAATAAACTATAAAAAATTTTAAACAATATCTTTCTTTTACGAAACTCTTCCCCGCGAATATAAATTCATTGTAATGACTCTGGACGACGGCTGAGGATACCCCAGCAAAAACTAAATATTTTTGAACGTCACCAAAAAGTGTCGTTACAACTTGTAACCCAAACTACTTATTATATTTTTTATTTTAATCGTAATAAACAAATTCGAAATTTATTTGTTTTAATGTTGTACGTTGTTTAAATTATATCTTTGAAAATTAATTTAATTTCTTCAATTTATTGAACGTTGAATTGTTTGTGTTTAATTGTTAATTGAAAATGTTTTTCTAGGTTGTATTAAAAGGTTTTATTTTTAAATATTAAAATTAATTTATTTAAATTTTATTTATTAAATTTCAAAAAGAATTATGAATTTTGCACAGAATAACGAGTCTTGTTTACAACAATTATATTATTTTAATGCGGAGGTTAAATTAAAAGAAATGCATTTGTGTTCCTGATTCAATCTTCTAGGTGTTGTCTGCTCGTGAGCCTGCTGATAGTTAAATTTTGAATATTAATTAGGTGTAGAAAGTATAAGCTAATCCGAGAGTAATTGGTTTATAATTTACAATATAACATGTTATATGTTTAGGGTACATAATTTACTTCTAGTGAATGTTTAGGAAGTACAATCCTTTCGAGCGAAAGATAGGAAATGTAACCTGCTCTTACCAAATTTTTCGAAAGTGTGCCTTCTGCAGATGTATAGATGAGTGATATAACTTAGTTGTGTGATCAGAAAATTCTCGTCACGTGCCGTTGGTGAAGAAATATGGCACACTACTCTTGACTTTAAATTTTGATAGTCCTTTTCTGCTTAATTTTATAATGATGTGCATGGTGTTTTAGCTTAAAATTTTTGATAAATAATTTTTAATTTCTAATCTGTTTTACTGACACATTTTTATTTTGAGGTTTATACATTTTTTACTCCTAAGATTTTATTTTGTAATATTATTGATACAATATTTTATATTTAAAGTTTTCGTTATAGTGTATATATATATATATTATTACTTACTTAATACAATTTTAGAATATACATAAATTTAAGCATTGAAAAAAATTGGGTTGTTTTCTTGCTGAATTCTATTTAATTTCAAGAAATTTAAATATTTGGGGTGACTGCTGCAGTTTGTATATGTGTTGCGTTTATTTATGTGGAAGGTGTTTTATTTTAATATAAGTACTATATTTTAGTTAGTTTTATGTGGGGTTAAAATTTTTAATAAAAGTTCACCCTTACAAATATTCACCTTCTGATTTATGGACACCCTATGAAGTTTCTACAACTTATGGATTTAGTTTTTAGATTAGCGACTTTAACAGTAATTTTTGAAATATATGTGGATCTGTAAAATGTCCTATATTAACAGTATAGGATACTGTCACAGCAGTATTCGGAACTTAAATTGCTTATTAAAAAATGTTTAGGAATATATTTATTCTGATAGTTTTTACTAATATTTTTTATGTATATCATAAATCGCACTATAATATCTATTCTATTTTGACATAAATAATTATAGGTCTTTTAGGTGGCTCGCAAGTACGGCAAAAAACAGCACGTTACTGGCCTATACTGGCCTAAATCTACCCAAAACAACAACACTATTTTCTCTACCTCGGCCAGTATAGGTATACTGGCCAAGTATATCGACTAGTGAAAAAAAAAGTGTTACCAACGCAATAAGCGAACTATTGTGAACCTTCATTGGAATTTCCAACGAATATAAATTAATATATATTCAAACAAATAAAAATTCAAACAAAATTCAAAAATTTCATATTTTTGAAAATTGGAAAAAAAAGAAAAATTTCAATGTTTTATTTTGAAATTTTCAATATTTTTATTATTCCTTTTAATTTTGTATTCATTTTCATTTTTAATTTATGTTAATTATTTATTTTTATACACAATGTAATTTACTTACATTAAGCTATTTTTGCTATTTGAAAACTTAACACGTGACAGATACCAATGCATCGCGAAGTCAATATATAGGCCAGCATGCATTTTTTGTCATACTTGCGAGTCACCGAAAAGGCCTTATATTAAATATTAGTACAATCTGTAAATATTAATTAATCTGTGACATTAAAATTAAACGCTAACATATGTACTAGTTCCTCCTAAATTTTCAATTATATTTAATAAAAATCCTGATAAAACAATTTACAAATCCAGGTACATAATGTTGGCCGCTGCAATTGCCCCACAAAAGCTTAGAAAACTAGCAGTAGTTATAACAGCTGTTGTTGTTCCCGATATAGATATAATTGTTCCCATACACAGTGATAAAATAAATTGCGCTAGAAATACCATACTGTTTACCATTGCTATGTCTGTTCCTAATCCACGAACATCTGTTGCATATTTATTAGTGTTGTCTGTGCTGAGTTCAAACTAAAATATAACATAAGTAAATATATTATAAAAAGTAATGAAATCAATGCATACCGTGCCCATGGAATGATAATGTGCTACAATCAAATATGGCATTGTAAAGAGCGTAGAATACATAACGCCAGCTGTCCAGCTGAAGATAATCACGCTTTCTTTACATCGAGTTAATGCCATTAAAGTCATTCCAACGCAGTAAAACAACAATCCCCCCACGTAAACTTTTTTAACCCTTAAAGAAAGATGTAATTAAAAAATATTCATTTTACTTTTATATATTTTTTTAATAATAGTATTTAAAAAAAATAAATGAAAATAATAATATTTCTAATAAACATAAAAAATCTTTAATTTGTATTGAATTATAGTTGTATCAAAAAATTACAACCCAAAATTCCCAAAATTTCACTAAAAACAAAACTCAAGAATAACTATTATTTTTAAAACATGAAAGTAAAACACTTTGTAACTTATTGTTGAAAATAAAATAAATTCTACGTCGGGCTTTTTATTTTTAAAAAGAGCAAACTATAAAGACGATATTCTTCCTCTAAGCATTCGTCCACCAACAGTCGTTTTCTTATAATTTTCTTAATAATTTAGAATAATAACAGTGGAATAGTGGAAAGCTGTCACAAAGTATGGGATCGAGCTCGCTGTTTAGCTGACTGTTGTGAAAAAATGTGAATTTCTTGAACTAAAAACCCGCATAGGGAAAATAATGGATTGGTGATAGAAATGTAAATTTCAACCTCATCTATAAAATTTGCTATGAAATATGAGCTTCGTAGCAGCGAAGGAGAAAATAGACGGTGATAATTACTTGTTGGAACACTGTGGATATATACTGATTGCTTTGCTGACTGCCCAGATTGCTTTTTTGTCACGTTATTTATACCGGAGAAGTGTAGCATGCGCTATTGTCTTGTTAATCAGGGTTTTGTTACCATTAAAAAAAATTTGATTATTGCGTTATCAATTATGAAATAATAAAAACGGTTAAAAACTACAATTACTTTTTAAAAATTATATATTGTATATTTATGTTGTGAATGATTTTCATACCTGAAGCGTTTAATTAGTTCTTCAATCAAAACAGAGTAAATTGCACATGATAATGAATACATCGCCATCCCCCAGCAACCAAACCGAACTCCTTCCTCGTACCGAATTTGTTCTATTGATCCTTTTATTGCTCGAGGATTTCCATTGAAGACTGCTTCACCTACAAAATCGGTGAAATACAAAGAATAACAGACATGAGCCATCCAGCAGAAGAGATTGGTCAAGCAAATCATGCGCAACGAATGAGGCATATACAAAATAGATTGTAAATAATTTGTCAATGATTGGTCAGTATTGGATTGCAGTGCACAACTTTCTGGTTGTTCGTGTACATCTGATGAAATCTCAGTACTATTTTCGATAAAAACAGTTTCTTTTATATGTTGATCAAATTCAACAGATTCGTTATACTCTGGGTTTTCGTTGGTTATATTTGTTAACTGAAACAGAAATAGAAAATAGAAAAAAAATTAATTTGGCACTTTATGGTAATAGGTAAAAATATTTATCTGTTGAAACAAGAACGTAGAAAGATAGTACAACAGCAACACTTCCAGTACTACAAAAAAACAGAAAATTTGAAAAATTCAATAAAACCACAAAATATGACATTAACCCACTACACGGACTATCACGGACTATCATAGCAATGTCAGCAGCTGCTATGATATACCATATATGCTAACCAAATTAGTGCAGCCCTTATATAAAATAATATCGCAATCTGTGTTAATATTGGCAAGTGAAGGATCAAAATTAAATTGCAAAAACTAATCTTGAAAACTATATCTTAAAATTTCAGGCTCAAATTCTCGAAATTATGATTTTTGGCAAAAAAAAAGCCAAATGCTAATGCGAGTACAAAGAACACAAAAAAAAAATAGAAGCAAATGACGAAGTAATTTTTTTAATACTGAGATGCATATATATTTTTATATAACGATTTTTTCCCAGTGCAAATGTATGGGGCTATCGCTAAAAGTTAGAATTAATGCATGATGTGCTAATGAGCACTATGGATTTAGTCCAGTTTTTGTAAGGAAGCGATGATCAACTTTGTAGACTATAATCACTCATTTTATATTGTCAATGGCTCAGTATGACACTCGAGTAAAATTGGGCAAAAAATTGTAGGGTTTATTACCCTAAATATTTTTTTAGAAATAGAACTAATTTGTCTGCAATGTATGTATGTAAAATTTAACTTTAATTTTTGTATTTGTGTTACGCTATCCTCCATTGAATTCCTCTTGTCCAGAAACATTTATTTTTTTTTTGTTTACGAATAAATGACAGAAAGTGACACAAGTCAAAATTTGATTAACGCAAAATTCCACGGTTCTTTTTTTACTCCTACTACTTACAATACATAAATTATATTCAGACTAATAAAGTTTTAAATATTCACAACTAATAATTAATATTTGGCAATATTCAAAATCGCCATGTTTTCTTGTACTCATATACATGTGTAATTTGGTTGGGATTCTGTTTACCTCATTTATATCCATTGGGTTGACTTTGTCATTACGTAATGTTCCATAATTTGTTGCTGGATAGTCATCAGTACCGTCGTTGCTGGTTATGTTACCCTTTAATTTATTTAATGCCCACAAAGGAATTTCTTTAAAGCTGGTGATTGTTATGGTTACACACACAATAAAAATAAAAGTTACTATTGTAAATACAGCTTTTACATGACCTCCAAGCTCGCGACCTTTTAACAAATATTTAATCTAATTTTATAATACAAATTTATATATATATATAATAAGATGTTTACCAATTTTCATTGAATCCCAATTAATACCTCCCATAGAATATCCCATAAATCCACCTAGTCCGGCCATTATTGTAAAAGTTGATAATCCTTTAGCATGATCCTCTTTAATCAAACACATGAATTATTTAAAAAATAACAAGCTCTGTATAATTACCTGGTACACATATATCTAAAAGAAATGTTCTAGCAGGACTTTGACATGCATCAGCGTCGAAGTCTAATAAAACAGTTCCAAGAACGGTAAAAAAAATTCCATATGAATGCTGTGAACTTAGCGTCGTATTAAACATTTTTATAGGTAATGTATTTTGCGCTTGACTTGAATTATTTGTAATATTAATGGCCGTGGCACTTATGTTATTATCGCCAAACCAATAACCTAAATTTTCTCCATTTGGAACAAGCAATAAACCTGTATTAATATGCAAAATTTCTTTAATAATGTTATTATTTGATAAATATATCACCTAGCAAAACTCCTACTGACAATAATATTATAAAAGGTCTACGTCGACCCATGTTTAACTTGCATCTATCACTCATGGAGCCAAGTATGGGACAAAGAAAAAATCCGACTAAGGGTGATAATGCCCATACCAAAGTCATGTGTTTATGCTCTACTCCAATTTTTAAAAGAGTTGGAGAAACAAATGCTGTTTCAGCAGCATAAGAAAATTCAATACCCATTACTGCAGCAGAAATCCGTACAAGTTCCATTCGTGTTTTAAATCTTGAAATAATATTAATAATTATACAATTTGCTTTTATTATTCAGAATAAGTAAAAGAAATAATCTTATTTCGAACTTATGTTTCAGAGTCAGAAGGCTCAATATGAAAATGTGGTGGAATATGCGTGAATAAAAACATGCTGAAATCATATATTAGCGTAAACACGAAAATCTCAAAAAAAAAAAAATTATATGTGTAAAATAATTCGTAAATTTAAATTTTATTTGAAATATTCTTAACATTAATTCAACCATATATATCCATTAGGATGCCATTAAGGTATATGGGTAATTTTTTTCTTCGAAAAATCAGTTGACGGCACCCCCAGATCGGTTCATGTTACTAAAAAAATAATCTGTGTAAAGTTTTAGTTCGATTGGATAAGTGGAAATCTTTGGGCGCCTCAAGAGCCCTAAAGATTGGAATATAACCGTTTTTTTTATAAAATTCATATTTGATTGCTTATATCTCCGACATATTTAATTTTACATAAAAACTGTCTTTTCAAAAGTTATAGATCTATTAAAAATAAATAATTCACTCGTTCAAAATTTTTCTGTATTTCTAATAATTATTGAATAAAAGAAAAAATTAGCTGAAATCAGCCGATTGCTAGGTTTGCAAGTGCTATGAATGTTATTGTTCGCTTTAGCGTTACAAAAGTTGCTATAATTTAATATTTCTTCTAATAAAAAGGTACTAATTCCGGGTTTCTCCGACATGATTTTTATTATTTTTTTTAAAGCTGCTAAAATAAAATATCTTTATTAGAATTTGGAAAACGGCGGCGGTAATCGTCAACAATTTTTAATATGTACTGTTTTTAATTCTCATTTTTTTGTTAAAATTGAGTTATAGTCTAGCATTAGTTTCACTCCTCGCTCTGCCGTATCATTTACTACTTTAAAGCTTAAAAGCGTTTATTTAGCTTTCATAAAACTAAGGTCTTCATGTCATTTTGTGGGACATATTTTCATGAAATCATCCCACAACTTGAAACGATTAAAAATGTTTTTTGTATGTTTGTTTACAAACTGTTCAATTCTCTTTTCAACGATTTTAGTTATATTTGCGCGATCTAATGATACTCTCCTGACTTCCTTGTCATCACTATCTATATTCAAATTTGAAACCATCTTTGTCTTTCTCTCAGGTGATATATTTAAATCCAAAAAAGCAAAACGAACAGGCTCTGAGCTTAAATACCAAAGATGATTACATAATATTTCCAAAGTAACTCTACATATATCTTCATCAGTTTTTTCATATTGACTGAAAGTAGAAAGAAGATTAAAATCTTGGAAATGAGCTTTAACTGATGACAAAGCATTAAACCATACTTCAACATATACTTTAGTAATAAATATACATATATCGCAGAGAGCATTTTCTTCTTCTGTAGATAATTTGAACTCTTTCCTAAATAAAAATATTTTTAATGCATGCATGGCTTTCGCCATCCATCTTGCGAAATGTATACTTCCAGGAGAACGAAACTTTATGCTGCAGTTCGGCTTTTCTCGTAAAAATATTAATACAAGTTCCATAAGTTTCTTATAATCACCTCTTGGTTGGATATCCTTACGAATCTTATAAAGGAAACTTGTATTTCATAACACATCATCTATGTTCAATGATTTTCTCACTTTTTCATTATCTAAGTCGACTGTCAAAATGTCAATGTTTGTTTTCGCACAAAAGATTTGAAATCGTAGAACATTTGGGCTTACAGACTTACAAACCTTAGTATGGAGGATACATTTGAGAATAATTTCGAAAGTGTGATTTCTGCAAGCTACATTAAGACCGAAAAGTTTTCGGAAATTCTCATTTAAAATTCGCGCGCTGTATATTTTTCGATATTTTAAGTTTATGTAGTTTGGCAGCAATTAAGGACAATTACTATGCCAAAAATGAGCGCGATTTGTCAGACAGTTCGTTTACGGCAGCTGTTGAAACCAGTTCACCTCAGTAGTGCGTTGCGAAAAAAACAATGGAAAAAAATATTGAACAAAGAGTTTGCATCAAATTTTGTGTTTCGAACGAAATTTCGTGTGCAGAATCGTTGCGAATGCTACAAAAGGCTTATGGGGAATCAGTTTTATCGAAAACTCAAGTTTATGAGTGGTACAAAGCCTTTCAGGACGGTCGTACGACCGTCGAAGACATTTCGCAACGCACTACTGAGGTGGACTGGTTTCAACAGCTGCCGTAAACGAACTGTCTGACAGATCGCGCTCATTTTTGGCATAGTAATTAAGGACAGTGCTGCCAAACTACATAAACTTAAAATATCGAAAAATATACAGCGCGCGAATTTTAAATGAGAATTTCCGAAAACTTTTCAGTCTTAATGTAAATATAAAACATCTCTTTCTTAATGTTTTTCAATAATTGAGCAAGTTTCGTTAAAAGGAACAGTGTTTACAGCTGTCATTTCAGAAACTAAAGCTTGCAAGTAATCCAGCAAACCCCATTCAAATAACAGATGCCTGTGCTCTGTCGGTACCATTTTTTAGTGCAGGTATTTCAAGTAATTTCTCAACACACCTTCATGAGATTATAATAGGTCGACGGTCCACATTTTGTTTTCCTTCTAAAGCTGGCAGCAATTTTTCATCCCGATGCACACAAGCTGCATTTAGCTCACAAACTTTGAGCTGATTTTTTAAGTCTTCTACTCTTTGTGATCGTTCATTTATGTGTCTTTTGTCAAAATATGATAACTTCTTGTATAGGTAATATAGCACTTTCACTTAACCATAGCTTAACCACACGCAAGATAAAAAAGGACTTTTAATACTTCCCTATTTGATGGTAATTTATTTCCAGTCAACCTACTAGAATGATAACCAACAAGGTATATATTTTTACACAAACTTAAAGAAGACATCTCGGTAACACTTTTTAATGTAATCACTTTGAATTAATCACTACGATAAAATATTATAAAACTCACTCCGTATTCCAAGAATAACACAGAAACTCATTTATGTATATAATTATCCAAATGTTGGACTTATTTTGCAGCAAATTTAGTAAACAACATAGGTATAATCGTGGGGGCAAATGCATTCATAGAACTGCCTTAATTCAATCGGGTGATTTCAGCTAATTTTTTCTCTTATTCAATAATTATTAAAAATACAGAAAAGCTTTGTATGAGTGAATTGTTTATTTCTAAAAGGTCTATAACTTTCGGGGAGACATTTTTTATGTAAAATTAAATATGTCGGAGACCTATGCAATCAAATATGAATTTTATTGAAAAAACGGTTATTTTTCAATCTTTGTCTACGTCTTTGTACTGTAACGTTTGTAATGCACCTCAGGACTTTGTACTAAATTCGCTGCATTAATTTAACATTTCTTTGTACGGCATAACCTTATAATTGTATGACATAAAACCAGGGACCGCAACGGTTATTATTAAACAAAAAATATTAATTAATAACTCTTATCTTTCACCTTTTAAAATATTAAATATAATTTTTTTATATAAAAATTATAATTAAATTTGCTTTATGTTATATTTTTTAAAAATAATTATTCTGTGTTTTTTAGTTCCACACACATATAACTCATACATTCTGCTTTTTATTTTTATTTTTATTTTAAAACGCGCAACTATATTTTTTTTTCGCTTTAAAGACCGAAAAACAAAACATTTTTCTGCGTTGTAATTGTTTTTGTTTAGTAAGGCTATTAGGAGTAATTGACCTATGAGTGACACTGCTGGTTTAGACTTTTGACGGAATGCACATTGTTTAGTTAATATGTTAGGATTTCGTTTACACCTTTAACTTTTTATTAACGATGCGAGATTCCTCGGTAGTCTCATTTTATATAATTGCAACGAGTGCCGTGACTCCCAGATCTTTGGCAACAGTGTTATAGATGAACCTTGATCGAACATTGCTTAGAATGTTGTGGATTACGATAACGATGACAGTCTGGAAGTATACCTGACTGATGGTATTGTTTTAATGGCTTTAACAGCTGGCTGATGAAATAACTGCTGATGCATGCGTCTGCATTCATTAAAACCATATGTAAGTCACACCATTCCATAAGCTTGGGACCTTGTTGCAGCCAACTAAAAGATACATGGCTCTGTGTAAGTAATTCCCATCTATTCAGTATTCTGAGCGCCTTGAATTAACGACATGAACTGCACTTGTGACATTGATTACTTTTTGAAAGACAGACAAAAATCAAAGAACCAGAAGACTATAAATATTGATCTGCACAACAAATTCTGAAACGTAAGCTGCACGGAGGAAAAGTAATGGGCTTTAAGTAAGCTTTGAAAGATTGAACCATAATCTTTAACAAGCACGCAACAGGTGTCAGGATAAATTATGAGTTTTGGAGAAGCCAGGAAAATCATGCATCTGAGTGGTGCGGTTACAAATTGATATTTGCTTTATATAAAAGAAGACTTAACGCCAGCAGATGAGGTATGGTAAGGTAATGTGTGTATGGTGTCCAATCCAATAATTGGATAGTAGGGTTTATACTTACATGTACAGCTATAGTCGAAAGGAACCCTAAAAAATTTTGGTATAAATATTAAAAAAATCTAAACTATAACCTAAGTCAAGGAAAATAAGGAGAAAATATTAAGAATGAAATAAATTAGAAACTGCGGTAAAAAGTCTCAAAGCAGAGTAAAGTATTTAAGTAAAGGTAATTCCACTGAGAACATACGTAAGTGGAAAAATGACTGGTCGGAATACAGAAGCTTTATAACAAAACGATTATGGATACGAAAAAGACAAGCTTCAAAATACTTCTGTGAAAGTATTAGCAACACTATAGAAGTATTAAAACTCTACAAAATGTTGGCAAATGAAACCAGTATATCCTCTGCTGCCTTTCATCTACAATCAAAAGCGTAATATATGCAGATGACACGGTTGTTCTTTCAGATAGATCCCAGATGCTCCAGGATATAATTGATATCATTAAAGGGTATTGCAGATGTGTGAAAGAAATATTAAATAAATATATCAGAACCAAAATTAATGTTAATACAAATACTTAAGAGTGATTGTAACCCATAATGTGTCCTTTATCAAATATTTGGTTCAAATACAAAGGAATTTAAAAATCATTATAAATAGCAATTCGAAGAAGCTTTTATGAACAAAATAAGAGTTTAAACACAAAATACATAATCTTATGAGCTATCTCTAGGCTGTTATGTGGTACGTAGTCGAATATTGGAGTTGATCTAATTATCTCTAGAATATTATGTACTTGTCGCTTGTTGTACTTATAAGAATACACAAGAATATAATATTCGAATCGACCTCAAAAAAGTTCTAACTTGGAGTAAATTCTAGAAAAGCTGTTATACGCAATATCTGATCAAATGGAGTGGTTATCAGTTAATATATGCAAATCTACAGAAATTTTGGCGAAAATAATTACTTACTAATAACGACTATGATATGTATATCTATGAAAGACAACGATGATGCTCTAAATAGAAGAAATTGTAACATTTTCGCTGAGTAGCTTATAGAGGCGTTCAAATAAAAAAGCTTTTATAAATTAATTATTTTGAATTTTATAATAAGTTTTATTTAAATTATTGTATAAGAATGGCAAATGGCTAACGCCTTGATGTGTGAAATATTTACTACACAATACCTTATTATCTATTAGTGTCTTGTATTAAAACTATATCATAAATTATTGTAATTGTATAATAAATGATTGTATTAAATGTATATTAAATTTCTATTAATAAAATATATTATTGGATTGTATAAAATAAATAATAAAATAAGTTTTTATTTTTCAATTTAATAAACAGTTTATTTGATCAAGTAACAATGTCATTGATTGCAGGTTTTAGCTTTCGTGTTAAGCCTTATATTTACTCGCTTACAGCATTTATTCTATTTATTCGAAAGGTTATTTCGAAAATTATAAGATGAAAATGAGTGTAAGTGGACGAATACCTAGAGAATTGTATCGTCTGGTTGTGAAATAATTACATTATATACATTGAGATTTATTGTAATTGATATTGTTTAAATATACTTAATTCTAACAAAGAGCAAAAAATAAAAGGCCTAACGATACAGTACAGTTATAATACACTTTTTAATAATTTTCTAATTGAACAAGTCCGTAAAAAGTTATTTTATACGTCATCATTAGACATTATAAATAAATATATTTAACTTCAAGTCCATATATATAATATATTTTCCTACATAACACTCGTTTCGTTCGTCTTATAATTTGCTTAGTAATAAGTACATATAGCCGATTTTATTCATATAAATATACACATCTAAAATTTATATATATACACGATTGGATTTGTAACTGCGAAACTTACTAAATGAAAAAAATATTAACCAATTTGTTGTAAATATTTTATCTTAGCGATCACACCAACAACCACCAAACACAAAAACTGTTTTATTTTTTTCTGCTTGCAAATAAAACGCTCGGTTTGCAACTTGTATTTACTTTTCAAAAATAATTTGCATTTAAAGCGTTTTATTTTTGCTTTCGAAAAGTAATAGTTATTTTTGAGTTTTTCGTTAAGGCAAGAATAATAATATTTTCGTTTTAAAATAAAAAGCGAGTGAAAAAGTTAAAGGTAAACAAAAATAATTATTTGTGAAAAATTTAATTCTTTTTATTTTCGGTATTTTCTATTAAAAGGAGAGCGATGAGAATTATTAACTGATTTTTTTTCAAAGTAATAACTTTTATGGTCTTTGCATATAACAGCACATACTTTCGTGAAACCACCTCAGTTTAATGTTTAGAATATATCGGTTCAAGATATATGACTTTGCTGATGATTCTAGTTTTCTTTTTTAATTTTAATTTTAAATTTAATTTAAATTTGACATAGAATGGTGACTTTTATATTTTTTTGATGATCAGCTAATTGAATTTAAAAAAGTCCTTAAAGTCATATATCTGGAACTTTTACTCAGTCAAATTGATAATAAAAGTATGTAATCAATGACCGCATATAGACAAATGGAGCCCAATTTGCACACACGGAACCACCAAAACACTAATATATCCAATTGCAAAATTTAGGTGCGGTGTCAAATGTGTGAATATACTGATACAAAATATCACGAAGAATTACTCGGTTATGAAGAAAGATAGATCTTTACGTTAACGGCATAACGTGAAATTATTATTAAATTTGTTGGATAATTAGCTAAGTCACGTTTATAGAATTATAATCAAGTGAATGTAAAAGAACATATTGTAAACGGGAAGATTAGGTATTAGGGAGAAGAAAAAGCAACGCCTGAAAAACCGATGGAATGATGAAATTGCTAAAAACAACTAAAATATATTTTATATAATACTAACTATATACTGTGTGTATGTGAAAAAACTTAAACTGACAAAGAGTTGTAACCTTATGACTTTTAAAACAAATATTTAAGTAACAGAATTAAAAAAAAATGCTATACAAAATGCTGAAAGAGTGTGAATAAAAAAATGTATTAAAATTTTATTAAATGTTATTATTGTATTGAAAATTTATTAATAACGTTCATTTTTATTCACAACCGTATTTTGCAAGCAATTTATATAATACTTAAATTACTAAATGTTATCCTGTCAAAACTCAATTACCTGTATATATGAGAAAAATCCTGAGATGCGCTCACATTTCCCTTAAGTTGATTGCTAGCTGTATTTTTAGCAATTTCAAAAACATTTCCTTTCCCATTCTCCTCAAAATCATTAATGCGTGTTCTTAGAGCATCTCGCCATTCATGCAGACGTCCAGTAAGTCCCTGATATTCATGTAACTTTTCCATTATGGATGGATTTTAAAATTGATTATACCACTGAATTTTTCTAATAGTATTTTACCACAACATTTTGTGACAAATTAGTATTCCAAATAAAAAATTAACAAATTCAACTTTGTTGCTTAAAAGTTATATTTAGAAACTTTCCCATATTTCTAAAAAATTTTCAATTAATCAAGATTTTCAATTAATATTTGGATATATAATTTGTAAAGAAAACATTTCTACAAAGTAAAATCTTAGTTTTTGAATTTATTTTCTAAAATCACAGTTTTATTTTTTAATTTTACACACTTTTTTTAATACTATCATTTAATTTAAGTAATATATGAGGTATAGGATGACAACAAAATTTAAACTTATTTAAAGCAAAAACAACGAAAATAAAAACACTCAAAAATATTAGTAAGCAAATATTAGCAAAAAAACAAGTGTTTATATATTATTTGTTTCTTTTTAATTTCTCGTCAAGGGATGCATTCATCGTTACTTGAAAGATCTATGTCCATAAGAACTTATGAACTATAAATTTGTTTGTAACCAGAGTAATTAGAATTATAAATTTTTCCGCCTTTGTCGACGGTGGGACGTAACATTTAGTAAAAGTGTTTCGTTTAAGATAATATAGTTTGTATATCAACTATTGTGATGGAAAATTTGTGAAACAATTGCACTTGGTGTTATTTTAAAATAGGCGAACCGTTTACAGCATCATTAATTAAGCTTAAACCGAAGACAGATTGCGACCAACTCAAGTGAGTGGCCGCCCTTACAAATCGTTACATCAAAATATAGGAACTTGTTAAAAAAATATGTCATACTTCACAATCAGAGCGCTTGCTATGAGTTGTGATGTTGCTGTTTCTTACAAAACAAAAAGATACGTTTTGTAAAGTCACTAATTTCATCAGGATTTATTGACAAGTACTTATCTCTCACTTTAATGCACATTAATAAGCTACATGATTATTGGGACAACATCGTTTTTTATTACGAAACATATGGTATATGATGTTACATTATAATGATGGAGTGTGAAAATAGCCGTTAAAAGTTCTGGATAACAAAATATAATCCCCACTTTAATGTTTGGCAAACTTTCGATTATAATCTAAGGGTATGCAATAATATTTTGCATTTTTATTATTGCGAAATATTTACTTAAAATAAATATTTAATTAATAGGAATTTATAACGATGTTTTTAAGAATAAATTTATAGAAAAGCAAAGCAAAAGAAAAAAAAAATTATAGATTTTGAAAATAATCTTATATTAGCGATTTTCTTATATATTTTGGACAACAGCTGTTAAAAATAAAAGGCTCTGAACTTTTTCCAATTTCGTCCGAATTTCCAACGATAAGACTGGAAATAATTCAATTTGTATTTTAATATCAAATATTTGCAAAAGCAAACCCATGTTGTAAGGTTCCTAAAAATGTTTTGATCAACATATGACTTTGCAACATCATCTGTTAGTGGTGCACAAATTTCATTACAATTTGCAACAAAAATAGTCTTGTTTTCTCATTCTTGATTTTTCAATAGATTTGGGTAAATTTAAGGGTGTTGAACTTAAATCTTCAACCCGTATCTCTAGTACATTTCTGGGATTCTTGTGTTTCAGCAAATTTGCTTAAAAAAATTCCTGCTGTTTTCTCTCGCTTTATGAAAAAATAAAGGGAAGGAAGTTGGAGAAAGCTGGCTAAAGTAAAAATGTTTATTATTTGTAGCAAGTTTACTATAGCCACGAAAGTCGTATCTTTATAAATAAATAATTTTTTTACAACCTCAACTTTTAGGGGGTTATTATTAAAAGCTCAACTTTTAAACGGATTGCAGATATACGCTGAGCAGTTTCAAGTCAATCTAAAGCCGTTAAGAAATTAAAAATGTTAGTGCTACACAATGTTACAAATGAAAAAAATCGCTTTCTTTTGCGAAATAATTCATGGGAATTAAACTGACGGCTCTTGGATATTTGTGCCCCTCAGGTTTTCGTTTGTCATTGCACCTGTATTTGATTAATGAATATTTTCCATTACGAAGCTACCTTATAGAATACAATGGTAACAAGGCAAAAGATCTTTTTTTGCTTCGTTTAAACATTATTAGAAATCAAACAAAAAAATAAACTTTATTTTACAACCGGAAACAATAGACATCAAATCAAAATGATAACCAATAGTTTTTTGAGTGAATAAAGTCATACTTGTCTGAATTTTGTCATGCTTAAAGTTTTAAATTACGTTATTCTTAAGTCAGTGTCATACTTAAGTCAACTTTTTGAATCAAGTACTGTCTAAGTAATGCCTATCTTATCGGCCTTGAATGATATAATAGAGTCCAACGAAGTATTAGAGTATTTCAATTAACCTATTTAATACCAGTTCATAGTATATATAAATTTTTTGCTGGTGAAAACACTTTCTTTACACTAATGTTACACTAATTTTAAATATATTTTATTTTTGTTATTACAGTTGGTGTTATGCTGCTTTAAATGAATTTTTTTTATCGTAATTGTATAGATAATATATTACTAAAGCAAAGCGCATAATATTTTTCACAAATTAAAAAATAATAACTCTTGTTTTAACATATGAATTCTAAAAACACAATTTTTTTCTTTGTGAAGCACTTTTTGAAAAACTGCGTATTTATATATATATTTAATTTAAATCAAGTTTAATATATATGTATGTTATATTTGTTCAATATTTAAATATTTTCCCATAGTTCCAAATAATTTTGCCCAATACTTTCTTTAACTTTTTCTGTTTTATTATTATATTATGTATTTTGTTAAATTTAATTCAAATTTTTAAACACTTTTTTTTGATTTTTTAAATTTCACTCCCCGTAAACGTATTTGTATGTCTTCTGTGTACCAACGAATTTTCTATATAACTGTCGCATTCCACGGAGCTCAGTATTTTGCCTCTACTACTATGGTTTAACGAAATACATTAAATGAAAAGTTTCATTAGATTTTCTGGCACTATGCATAAAGCATGCGTACGACGAAACTACAATGATATAAATGGATTCAAAATTGGATTATGTTATTTAATTTTATTAAATTGCTATTATGCAGATCAATAAGCATTTTACTCTTTAAATTCGAAAGAAGTTTAAATAAGGGAAAATTTAAGAATTTATTTAAAGATGAGAGATAATTTCATTCAAGTTTTCTTTCATTTATTTATTTAATCTAGTATATGATTATTATATATACCGGAATTGTCATTTACCATTTGTTATTGTTTGGTTATTTTTTGGAATGCTTGAATGGCAGCATATATGAATATATAGATACATAAGTGGTTAAATATAGCTATGTATATATGCACTTACATTGGAAATAGTTTTTCTTACGTTTCAATGATATTTTGAAATGTCACACGATGACACTGCATACGTGTATTAACAAAAGAATTTCACGGTTACCGACATCAATATTTATTGATTTTCGCCTTATTTATTTGTATTTATTAAAAATGCTTGCTATAAAAAAACAAATACTAACTTTAGCATATATATTAGTATTATATAAAGTGTTCAAGTAATATTCAAATTACAATAATCATTCGATAACTACAGTACACCTATGTAAGTTATGTATCTCATTTATATCGTTTGAGCATTTTATTTAATTATTTTAATATTAATTATATAATATTATTTAATATTATATAAAACAGTTATTGTTACTTTTAAAAAATTATTATTAGTATTACTGTTTTCTTTTAAATTATAAAAACGATACAATTTCTTCTTTATAGAAATAATAGAGTTATTCCTAATTTTTTTTTAAAAAAATATGCAATTATAAAAATGTAAAAAAATGTTGCGTTGAGTAATAAAAAATGCAAGAGTTATAGATTATTATATAAGTTAACACCCATAGTCTCTCAAATTCGGCCCAATCAACAACGGTACAATAATGCGATATTATTTGCTCGGCTGATTGTTACCAAACTTATTTCTTTGAAAAAGTCTCGTTTGGCCCTCGCAGCTCCCAGATTTATAGGCAAGACCCTTTTACTTTTACTTAGGCCATCGACATGCAAAGACAGTGTATTAATTTTAACTTATAAATAAATAATTAAGTAACTCACTGATATAAGATAGAAGGATAGAAGATAACAAAGGTCAGCAACTCGCCTCTCCTGGTATAATCTTTGAGGGCATCACAATGGGTAATATATGCCCCCGAGTAAAAGTGCTGATAACAATCAGCACGCGCCTTCTCAACTTACCCTAACTCAGTGCAGTTGCCATTTAAATAACTTTAGGTGCCATTTTAAATTATGAGTTAACATGAGCGTGTCCATGGTGACATCTTTTGCTCATCTTCTTTTAAGAATATAATTATTATATATTATATGTATTATTAAGTAACTGTACTTAAAAAATGCACCATTAACGAAATAGCTTACAAATTACTCGACGAGGGTGCATTAACTTCCTTAATATGACTTCAGTTTTTCTGCAGAACATCCACTTAGCAAACAATAACAGTACTTACATACATTAATAATAAATTATTTACGAAATCAGAGGCCGTTGCCAAATGCCTATGCAATTAAAATTCTTTTGAGATTACAGCAAACAGTTTAAATAGACCTCCGATTAGGTACTAATTTCTTAATTGAATGTTTTTCAAAGATGGGATTAAATTACATTTAGTTTTCTTCGAATTATATTGCAACATAGTTGAGGCCTTTTCAGAAAAAAAATACGTTTAAAAAACAGAGCTTTCTCGGATTTTGGCACAAAGAATCAACCAAAATAAACAGCTTAATATTGAATTTTTCTGCTTTAAATTGTATAACTCTGATTTAAAATCGATATAATTATTTACATTTAAGGTATAATTTACGAGTATCTTCATTATTTCTTGTCCATTCTACCACATTATGTCCCGATATATTAATTGAAGAAAATTGCTGCGGATGCTGTTTCGTTGATGTAATGAAAAAATAATGATATATTCATGTTATCCCGTACGGTTTTCATTTCGGAGTTTTATTATTAAATATCAAGAATAAGCATAGAGATTGGTAAATGCAATTAGTTTAATTTCTTTTAGTGTTTACAAGTTTTATGATTTCAATCGGGTCTGAGATTATGGAAGATAGTGGCTTAATAATTGATTTCTTAAATATTGATCCATATTTTTTGATATATTATTATCATTATGCGATGGGTTCTTATGGTATATGTAGAGATCTATACAGAATTGAGAATTTTTTATGGACTCTTCAGATGCTTTCATGTTTTTACTGAGTTTGACGACTTAAAAATGTCGACTTAAAAGTGTTTTTAACAAAGGGTTTATTTTTTATTGAAGATCATTATCAGTTTATAGATATCAGTTTCAAGCTTGAAATCTTCTAGCAGTCTTATAAAGATATTTCTGGGTTTTTGAAAAAAGAGTTAATCAAATTTAGAAATGAATGATTTCCGAGTACATATATTGTATTAGTAAATATAAAATAACTTTTATAAAATATAGAATATTAAATAATAAGAAATTATGTTATTTTGTGAATCTTATTAAGCAAATTAGTATAAGTTTACTAAATCCTTCCAGTCACATTGATAAAACAAATATGAAGTTAACAGAAACAGATACTCAATACTATCCATTATTGTCTTACTCATACAGTACATTATAAATGTTTTTTATTTCATATATATAGAACATTTCAATTATTTTCTATATTATGTTTTTCTAAAAATTTGTCTAGCCAGTTCTCAATGACAGGTATATTTTCACTTGTCCATTTGGCTTCTTCTTTAATATTTTGTAGCGATTTTTTAATTATGTGCTCGGCACTTCCAAATTCGTTTTTTCGTAACTCATATAAGCGACTAACCATATCGTATCCTTCTTGAGTTGTAAAAGCTCCAGTAGCTGCATTTATAAGATTATCCCATAGGTTTGTTTTATTAGCAAATCTATAATAAAAGTAAAGTAACTCAACTTTCTTTCAAAATTTTTGATTTACCTTTGTTTTATTTCTGCCCAATGATCTGACAGAAAATTGAATAAGGTTGTATATCCGCTTGATCCCCGTTTTAACATATTAAAAATAAGATATAAATCTGTTTCTGTAAAATGTTCATTACTTTCCAAAATTGTTAAATTAAGAAGACGATAAATTTTTTCAGCTTGAATAGGGCACCCAGCCAACATCTTCAACAGATACGTTCTTTCACTTTGCGTTCTATTTTTTGGAAATTGTATAACGCGTTGTAAACCAAAGTCCCATTCATCAGTTGTGCCCCATTTGAACACTGGACATATATAATCATTTGCAACACTAAATATGTCAGAATGATATATATGTACAAAATTATTATTTATTAATATTTACGCATTTGAGTAATCTGGGTGTGGACTTTCCCTCCATACTTGATACGCTCTCTGTGCTTCATCAATGCATAAACGATAGCCTACTCGGCATAAAAACGATTTAGCCAAACGCCTTAAATCAGATTTCCAGTTTTCGCTTTTATCACTTTGCTCACCAAGTTCCAGATATAATGGAGTGAGTAATGCTCTTACATATGCCTTTAAAATTTTTTAAAATAAAGTACTTGTAGTTCCTATGTACGATTTCTTTGAAATAAATTATTTTTCGTAAATTAGTATTCATGTTTGGAAATTATATTGAAACCTTTATATGTACGTAATGACTTATTTATGACATTTATGCAAAATTAGGTTCATTTATGGACAAAGCGAAGCAATTAACGAAGCAATTAACGCATATAAAAGGCTTTTCACACTTACTACAACTATTTTTAGCAACACACCAACATTTCATTTCATTACCCTTGTAAGTTATATTACCTAGACTATCACAAAAAATCAAATCAATTGATATAGGTAATAGGTGAGATGAAAGGTTGTTAGTCCAATACATAGCAGAAAAAGCTACTACTTGAAAAAATCCAAGACTTTTGAAAAGTATCAATCTTAAGTTATTAAAATATATTAATTTTTGTGATAAAACTTTTAATCTTCTCAAAAGAATAAATGAAAAAATATTCTTATGGTTGAACATTCCATTTAGGAGAAAAATAATACCATTATACCAAACAAATAGTGAATAAAAATAACTCACAAAAATAGTTTTCTGTACGTAAACATAATACTGCACATTGCAAAATTATATAAGTGACTTTTGAATTGCATTCCCACTGAGTATATTCTCCAGATGTGGCCTACAGTGGAATCCTAGGATGTGTTCTTGTTGCAAACCCTAAAAAGATGATTATAATTCTGTTTGTAATATCAGAGTTTATATTTTCTATTTCTAGCAGCCCTACTGCAGCTGTATGATTTTAATTTACTTTAGTCTTCCTTTTTTATTCTTCTGCACTCAATTTTTAAACAAAATCATCTTGCAAATATATGTTAATGTATGGCATACGAGTACTTAGTTATTTACCTCAAACTTGCTTTTTATCACTAAAATGTCAATATGTTTACTAATGTGGTCAATAAATGTAAAGACAGGATTCCAGATAACATGATTACGCTCATAAACCATGAAAAGTGTCATATTTAATGCTGTGGCAAAACTTAATTCTCCAGCATATGCTAAATTCCAAGCATCATGCAACAGCTTTGCTCTAAAAATGTAAAATTTAGTAAATGCTTATATTTGGTAAACACATAGTGTAGATATTTACCTAGTATATAAAGGCAATTTGTTTCGCCCATCTTTTGTCTGCAAGTATTCTGACAGCAAATTCCAATTTTGTAAATCGTAATTAACTGGGAATGGACCAATTTCTTCCGGATTAACTATTATAAAGTTCGATTCATGTGTAAGTCCTTCAATCGTAATTTCTTTTTTGTTCATCCACACATGTGGTGTAAAATTAAGAAAATTTAATTTTTGTTGTTGGACGAGAACTATTGGAATAGACCATATCATTTTATCTTGCCCAGGTACATCATGCGGGCGTTCTCTTAAGTAAACAGTCTGTGTTACTTTTGCGTTATTGTTGGCATAGTTACGGATAATTTTAATAACTGGTAAACGGTCTTTTAGAATCCATGACTCGGCAATATTTACTACATTTAAATCTTTACTTAATGTATTATCGAAAAATGCCTGTTGCGTTAAACTATCCCATAAATTCACACCTGTAAATGTCCCGTACATGTGTTCTGTTATAAATCTTCTCAACCCACACCTAAACGTGTTTTGACTGAGTGTAAAATTCAACATACGTATAAGAAGTTCTGTTTTATATGAAATCGATTCTTGCTTCATTCCAGTAATTTTGGAGTGTGGGAACCGTTTACTTAATTCATAATACAAGGTATACAATTTAGTCATCGGATACATTCCATTTAATTCTAAACCGGTGTCAATCTAAAAAATAATTTTAGATTTAGTTAGAAAGTACTAGTTAGACTAGATAGTCCTACAAAATACATAAGATAGTACTTTAGCTAGAATTATTTTTAAATGTAAAAAAATTAATTGTAATATGCATACATTGATACATAATTTCCACTCTTACTTTTTGGTGTTGCTACCGATCATCATAGCACGAGTGCTCGAAGGTTTAATTTTACCGTAAAACCTGTTAAACTAATTGTAACAAAACTTATTAGAAACATATTGAAACAATATTTTCTTTTATTAACTTAATAAAGCCGTTATATAATGTAAAACCTGTAGTAAACCCAAATTTTTATTAACCGCCATTTAAAAAATATTATTTATCACTTTTTATCGCTTAAAGGTGCATCCATACCAAAGCGAATGCTTGCGAACGAACAAACATACGCAGGTAACCGTACCTGTTAAAGTCCATTTGTTCGAAACCGTTCGCTTGCACGTGTGAATGCACCTTAACTTACGTCAAAAGACATTTCCGCAGCAACAAAATTCGCCAAGGCTTTGTTTATGTGAAAATCATTCCACCAGTGTGGTGATACGCAGCACCCTATCCACTGCTGTATAAACTGTTGTGCCAGAGTTAAATATCCATTTTGCGAAATTTCGTTTTCCCTGCAAATGTTTGAAATTATATACAATAAATATAGTAAATTTCTCAAAATGAATAATTATATTTTTATTTATTGGATAATATTAATGTAAATAAACTTAACGAAAAACAAATATATCAGAAAAATTAAATTAATTTTTATATAATGTTCATATTCCTAGTAATACCACAGATTTTACTACACTTTATATTACTTATATATTAAAAAACAAACAACTGTCACCAAAAAATAATATAAAATCTTTTATTGAAAATTCGTAGGTTTTTCGATTCCTAGATTATCATAGTCATCTGTGTTAAATTTCAAGTCAATATATGTATTTATCAGAGTTACGCGCATGTTTTGTGAACAACAAAAAGTTAATTTTTTCTTTAATTATTGTGACAGTGTGACAATTTTAAAACGTATAAAAAAATAAAAATAAAAGATATATAATTGTCCTAGTAACTAGTTCAAGTACTAGCTTACCATCGTCGAGCCAAATCGGTTAAAGTGCCAAGTTACTTAATATAATCCGAGAAGTTCAGATTCAACACAATATACAAAATGTATCTAATTGATCTCTAACTGTTTGTATGTATTTATCAGCATTTCTTTTTATTTCTTTTATACTTTTTATTTATGTCTTATATACCTCACGTAATCACCACTGACTGTCCTTTCTGTTCGGATAGCTGAAACTTATTTTTAGTAGAAAAATAGTTGTTAATATAGAACATCTATATTAATAAACAAAAATACAAGTACCACACCAATCTTACTTTTATTTGAAAAATTTCTTACGTTTAATCTTAAAATATCATTTCTATATACCATACATATACTATCAAGGTTTTTATTAAAAAGTAACTTATTTTGTTATATACCCCACATACTTACTGGAACACCAATAATCCGCAATTATTTAGTGTTTGAACGGATACCAATTTGGGAATAGCGACCACATCAATTTTAGACAATGGAACTGTTGTATTGAGATAAATTTGTATTTGCAAATAAACTCGACGGAGCTTTGCATACATATTCTAACCAATTAAAATTTTCAAGAATTTTATTTATAAAGTTAACAAAAATATTTATTTTCATTACCTCGAGTTTTAATTGATTTTGTGAAGTTGCCCACAGATTTATTGTGGGAAAATCAGTTTCTAATAATGTTTCATTTGGATGATCAAATTTTTGTAACTGTATAATTATGAATCCGAAAGCATAGGTTGACATAGGCCACGTCTTTTCGAACTGGTCAATATCATTATTATCATCTCTGAAATAAATTTCTCACTGCACACATATGTACATACAAATTGTTAAGGAAATATTTGCGAATTCTAAGAATATATAAATATGCGTATCGTTATCAAATATTTTAACCATTAACGTTAAAAATATTCTTCAAATTGGAACTGAATTTTAAAAATTATAGCATTTAAATATTGAAATATATTGATATTTAAATTTATAATACTTTCTTTCATATTTGCTTATACTTGAAAAATAATTATATAATTTTGCTACAAAAGATTGTACTGCTGTACTGTTCTTATTTTAATTTTAAGTCTAAGGATATATATCATGAATTAACGTGTTGATTACCTCGGTAAAATTATAACGTTTTCGAGTAACTAATTTTTGATCATTTTTTCAGTACTCGTTAAAATATCAGCTGTTTTTTATCACTGAGAAGTGTTAGAGTAAGTGAACAAAAATAAACAATACACTATAGTAGTGTACTGTTCATGTCCAAAACATAAAACTCTCCACACACACAAAAAAATTTGAAAAATATTATGTCTTTATGATACACACCTAATATTAATAAATGCATATTTTATATCTTTCTTTAAAAAGACAGACAAAATCAAAACATTAAAAATACAAACAAAAAAGTTTTTTCTTTTTTGCAAATGAAACAACAACAATTCACATTAAAAACATTTTTAGAACGTTATGGTGGATTGCCCCATAGTTCCAAAGTTTATTACTTCGTGAAAAAAAAACACTAACGAGAACCTAAAAAACCTATACAGATTTTGGCAACACTAAAATTTTATACTTTGTGTTCTTCATACACAAACAATAAATTTTGTTGATGTGTTTCGGACTTTATTTAGTGTACTGTACGTGTAGTGTTTTTTAACAAAAATACAAAATAGTACACTATGTTTGGTAGATTAAAGTATAGTTTTGTTCACTGATTCAAACAACATTAGTTTTTAAGTTGTTTATATGATTTATATGTAATTCTTGGAAGTGAAGTGAATTCAAGAATTGCGCGCCCATATACAAGCATATCATAAATTTAAATATAAATATTTTCTTATTGCAAACATTTCCTACACAAACTTATTAACATGCTATGTAAATATAGCATACTACGTTCGAATCGCAAGCTATCTTGTCTAAGCGAATAAAACCACATCTTAATTTGAAATAAGCCAGTTATATATAAGTTACAACAATTAGTATATATTTTGTTTGTTTATTATAATCATAACGATTTTTTTGTAATCATAAACCTATTTGCTCAGTGTCTTCAAATGAAAACTTATGTGTTCAGTAAGCATTAAAGAAGAAAATATGGGAATGTTAAATTGGCTGAATAGCTGTCAAAATATTATGTTCGCCTAGCGAATATAGCTGGCGAATCGAACATATGTTTAAAATAAAATAAACTTACAGCGATGTCGTTTGAACCAGCGGAGTATTAAATAACGTTGTATATTTCTTCGGCCTTATTATTGAAACAGTAAATGGCACCTTAACAAAAGATGATAGAAAAGTTTATACCAGTTAATAATAACTAAAATTGTTGCTCGTTTCTGGTCAACTAATATCCAATGCCTTAGAAATTTACTAAGAACATAGATTTTATTTAGTAAGATTTCTAAATAAATTTCAATGAACCTCTTATGTTCTACTTTTATTTTGTACTTAACTTTAAAATTTGTAATAAACACTCAGCAAAATCCAATATTTAGAATTTAAGAACATAAACAGGCCCTTGATATAAGCTTCAAGTAGCTCCCCGATATTATATAATAGCGGTTTACTTAGGGTGACTAAAAGTAGTTTTGCTTTCTTTTAGTGAGTGTAGCTGTAACAATAATTATTATGAGGAATTTCTATTGTGGCCACCCGCTATCCAATAAGCCAGAATCGAGTTATACCTGTCTTGAGGTATCCTTTTTGTTTTTGCTTATAAATTATATTTATGTCTGCTTAAGATTGTATTAATTATAAATGGCAATTTTTTGCCATTTTGTTTCTATATTTTGTTTTAAGTTTTTCGCTGTTTTGTTTTTGGAAAGAACACTTTAAAGAAAAACGACAAGCTTGTAATAATATCTTATATGCTAAATAAACCAATGATAAATAAAAAATTAAGCATGAAGAATAGAGTTCTCTTATATAAAGAAGTCAACAGATCCAGACAATTGCACGGAAGCAGAGCATACTATAAAGCCTCAAGAATAAAATTAAAAACAATTGAAATATATCAGAATAAAACATAAAGGCGAATTGTAAATGCTCCATGGTACGTACACAATAATGATATACATAAAGATCTGAAAATGGAATCTATATAAAAGTATATGAGAGAAAAAGCAATAAAATTGTTTAACCAAATTGACAATCACAAAAATCCATCACTAGACTTATTCAAAACCCCACGACACACAATAAGAACGGGCAGATTCGCAGAACTGCGAAACTTTATATTACAATATTACTGCAATAGAGTAAGAAAATTATACATAAATAATTAAAACAAGAACAGCAACATAAACAACTAAAACAAAAAACAAAAAAAAAAAAAGCCAATAACAATAAACAACAGTTGCCAATAGAAAACCTACTATTGAAACCAAACCTAGTGGTAATTTAATTCACCACAAAGAATACAAAGTCAAAGTACTTATTGATACTGACTCCCTAACAGGAAAAACATATATATCTTTTTTGACAGTAAATCGGCACTCCTAGCACTACGCTCACCTCGAATAACGTCAAAACTAGTGTGGGAATGCCTTCTACTTCTCAAAGACCTTGCTGAAAGGAACAGGGTCCACTTAATGTGAATTCCAGGGCACAACGGATTTGAGGGAAACGAAAAAGCAGATGAACTAGCTAGAAAAGGGGCGGCCTCATATTATATTGGGCCACAACCATTCTGCGGTCCTTCGTGGAGCTTTTTGAAACTTAAAACTAATGAGTGGCTGAAGAAAGCAGCTCAGACTGATTGGGATAATACAATTTCCTGCAGACAAGCCAAAGAATCCATGCCGTTTAGATCAATAGCCAGAACTAGGAAGCTACTAATGCTGAACAGAAGTGGTATCCGACTTGTCACAGGATTTCTCACTGGGCACTGCGGAGTTAAAAAGCATCTATCAAATCTAGGTATTACTAGAGACGATAGCTTCAGACTTTGTTGCGAAGAAGAAGAAACAGCAGAACAAATTTTGTGTCACTGTGATAGTTTTGCCAAACTCAGACTTCGGTATTTATCCACTGCCTATCCGCTTATAACGGAATTAGGCAACATTTCTCTAAAGAACATATTGGCATTCTTAACTGCCACTCGTCTATGGAACTGAAGTGGGTAAGTCATAATAATTCTCTAAGGATGCAGTGATGCAGTGACAAGTTCCGTTTCCAACCCATCTTAGAAATCTAATCTAATCTACTGACTCACTAGCAGAAACAAAAACTATAACAAGGTTTTTTTGTTGCTGTCTTGCTATCTTACAAAAGATTTTATGTCGTTTTACAATTCTGTTAGACTCTTTAATCTATGGCTAGCTATTTCAAGGTATTTGATATTAACAATTCTTTTACTCATGCTTTCTGATATGACAACACGTGTAAAAACTCTTTGCATAACAGATCCTTTTCATTGCTATTTTGTTATGTTTTTACAATTTCCTTAACAGTCAATGTTAAGGTCCCTTCTATTTTATCACACTAGGTTAGAGATTGTTGAACGTGAATTGCATCCTAGTTATCCGATAGAATATCGATATCTTTTTTGTATTACCAGTCAGCGTTTACTATCACACATACCTTCCTAATTGCGAACGGTGAATATGCCTCCTCCTAAAACCATCAGTAAGGATTGCTGTGTACTTATCGTCTTTCAGAGATTCCGGTAACCATTCTCTTATTTAAAGTAGAACTGTAGTGAAATTCTTGTTGAATACCACCTTTAGGACATTTCAGTTTTATCGAAAAGCTTTTGTAATTGTGTGGATCAGAGGTTTTTTTTTTAAAGAGCCTGTTTTAGATGACGTTAGTGTACTAATAGTAGCCTTTTGTTGGATATATAAATAAAATGCCATCATGTGTGTCAGGATGTTCAGAGCCTCTCTGAAGTATGAGCCGATAGTTCCGACAGCCATCACAATCGTTTTGTATTATCACCATTAAATATTTTTGATGGTAAAATTAATTTTATCGGGTATTTGAGTCATAATAACCCGTTATAAAATTACTGACATTAATTTAATATTTGATTAAGTAAATGGCATTTTATCAAACACATGGCAAAATAAATTAAAAAATTACTACTTAACTTAGTAAAATTAATTAAATTATTATTGAAACCGGTATATTATGGAAAGAAAATATAACGTGCGTAACATGTAATATAAATAAAAACTTGTAATAAAACACTCTATCTACTTAAATTATAGTTAATTATTAAAAATTACCTTAAAAGCTGGTTCGTCAAAACACGGAAACAATCTACGTGCATTAAGAAGCCTCATATTTGTAGCTAAATATTCTTTCGTTTGATTACCTTCTGCTTCCACGTAAGAACTCTTGAACAAACCCTCTGTTTCAAAATATATTTGTCCGTTAAAGTTTAATTCTATTAAGCACTTTGTGCCTTTTTTCATGACTTCTTTCAAGTATATAACAAAAATGCTTGTTTTCCTGGATTGGTCCGTCCGTAATATATCTAAATTTTTATCAACCCTGAAAATAATATATTTAATTTGCATGTAGGTGACATCTTTTGTAGGCATATTGCAAATACACAACCGCTTATTTTAGAAAATAAGAGCACAGCAAACAATAACACTTCGCTTATTATTTAACCCAACTTACAAGCAACTAACTCACCACACAGAGCTGCCGAAATTATAAATTTGTCATATTCTATATGATTATTGAAAATAAATGTGAAATTTCTAATTAGTTTTCAATATTAACGAAAATTAGGTAATACAAATAATTATTTCTATTACCTAATAAAAATTCTGTCTTGCAAACTCGTTGCACGGTGCACGAAATGCACAGACTGCGCAAGCTTGCAATGAACTACAACAAAACTCACGCACAAAGTTTCTTGCAATTGCTTGCAATCTTGCTATACCTAAACCTATGTATATATGCTTGCATCGAAACAGAAAAGGAAAAAAACAGCTGTTTTGACATGTGTTGCTTCTCATGTAGATGTGGTATGCTGCAAAAACAGCTGTTTCATATGATGTTGCAATTCTGCAATAGAAGTCTTTTCGTACTCTTGCAGTTTTAGTATAGCATTCTTGCATTTCATGCTATTTGCAATGACTTTGCAAGACAGAGTGCATGCCCCTAATATATTCGAAAGCATTTCGACTTGTGCCAACTATAGTAATTTTTATTTTATGTTGCCTTTTTCCAATATGCTTACAAAAGATTAGGCTTTAAGTAAAATATTTGATAATTTAAAGAATTTTTTGAATAGTTTCAAAATATTAACTAACATTTGACTTTCATTTAGTTTTTTAATTGTAATATTAAATATTTGAAGATCATAATGTGCGTGAAACGAGATTTTTTTTGAATCCTCTTTCCAAAAGATATTCATTTTCATATTTCCTTCAAAAGTGCAATCGTCAATATTGGGATACAGCCGAAGCTCATAATTCTCAGGAATAACATCTTTTGGGAGTCTGACATCAGAAATAAGAGCTTGTGAGGCTGATAAATCCACGCTTCTCTTATTTATCTGTAATATAAACAACAGTAGTATATGCAAGAATTTGAATGCATCTAATGAATTTTTCATTATATATGTTAATTATCATAAAATCAGGATATTTTCTTTGTACCAATTTTTGGCTTTATAATTGAACTACTTACACTGAATTCTCCATTTTAAGAAAAAAAATGCTTGCTATTATCTCACATTTTAAGACTATTTTTCTTTCGACCAATTTTGAAAACTATTCTATATGTTCAGTGTTAATCTATGGAAACAAGTCTGATATGATAAAGCAATTCAAATAATTATATTATATCAAACAACTTTTTTGGCCAAAATAAAATAAATACATTTTAATAAATCGACATGTTATTTAAAAAAATATATTATACTAACCTGAATTCCACTGCTAGTTCCAATTATTAATAAAATCAAAAGCACCTTTAGGATCATTTTGTATTCTACAGGATAAAAGTAGTTATAAATTTTCAAAAAATAACTATCATATCATCATATTACCCTAAAATGTGAAAAAACAATGCTTTTTGAATTTGATTTATTATAATATTTATTTATTTATAATAATACTTATAACGAGATATTTTCGAAAAGTAGTGAACTGTAACAACAAAAATTCTTTTTAATGTTATTTTAATTAATTAAATTTTTGGCTGACTATACAGCTGTTTCGAGCTGCATAATTAGTGGTCTTGAAAATAATTCTTGTAGTCGTGCCCTGTCAAATTTGAAGCTCAGAGTCAACGCTCCTTAACCAACTGACACAAAGCCGTACTTCAACTTCTCTTTTATGTTTGTACATTTTTCTGGAGTTTTGGTAATTTGCAGTGAAAGTTTTATTAACAAATTCACTTGCTGTGTTTATATTAGAATGAAATCATAAACCAGCTGTAGAATAATTGAATTAATTAATTATATTTTTATTTTCAATTGTTAAATTTCAATACTATTCTGTTTGTAGAGGCATTATTTGTTGTATGATTTATATATTGTTTCTTTCTTAATAATATTTATTTATTAAGATTATATATAACTATTAACTGCATTATTACGATATACGTAAAAATTTTCAAGCACACTTTTTTGGTTGAAAAAATATTTGCCCATTAATTATTGGTTCCAAAGCAGTCAATCTTTTTATTGTTTGTATTCATTTAAGCAAATCATTTCAATTTTATTTGAATTTTGAAAATATTTTGCTGTACCAAATAATTTTTTTTTTTAAATCTTTTATTGGATATGAATAGTACAATTTTAACTATTTGTTAATTTATTACTATTGCTGAATTGCACTTAATAGATATTAAGTAATACGTATGCGGGTTTACTGACCCAATGTTTAGCTCCCATACGTACCAACTAATATGGAAAATTATTATGAATATTCAAATTGACGTACAGGGATCTATAAGATCTATTGTGTGATATCTGAAGAATGTCTCACAACAGCGTACATTGCACCCTTTGGTATAACTCGTCACACTTTGTTCCATTTAATGAAAGTCACTTGAAGGTATTCGATTCGTTTGCTGAATAGATAAAGGAAGTAGAATTTTACTTCTTCAATAATCTCACCTTTGATATACGGTACTTAACTGAAGTGTATCCAATTAAGGAACTGGTAACTGATTTAAATATGTTTATATAAAAATTTTATAAGAATTTTTTTTGTTATCCTCAACAAGTTATTGACTTTATCAGATCTTAAAACAATATATGTACATTTAATTTTGTTATCACTTAGAAAAGGTTAATCATGTTAATTAGTGATTTTAGAACATACGACAATTCAGTTTCTCACTAATAAAAAATTTTATAAAAAGGATTGTTATATTGTGCTTATGTATAGAATATTTATAGAATTATTATTATTAATTAATTAATTTTCAAAATCGTATATATCTAATTTACTGTTTACTTAAATCACGTAACAGATACTCAGGTTAAACATTCGCTTGGATTACAATGAAAGAATTATTGAAACACTATTTTTTAAATATTTCGAAAATGTAATTTGTGAGTATTCAACTTGAATTTTACCTTAATATATTAATATTTCTTATGTTTTTCGAATAGTCTACAAAATAATCTTCTTTTTTAAAGGTACTTATATAAACTAAAAATCAAGTTGATCATATCATTTTGTTCAAATAGCAAGACTGGGGCAATAATAGCGTTAAACTATAAACAATTACTTTAATTGAAAGTAATATTTTCATTTGCATTTGTATTACATCACTTATGTCAATGAGATAGTATCCAATGAGCACAAGCACATATATTTTGATTTGTCAGTCGTAATTGATAGGGGGCAGTTACTGTATTAAAATGATCGTAAATCTACTAAATGGTTTTTTTATCGCATGTGATAAAGCGTCATTCAGTTAATGATTATATACCAAAGAACCCTAATCAGAAACTACTGTGGATATAGCTAACCAAGAAGAAATATTTACTTATCATAAAATAGATTTAAATTTATTTTCTGCGATATTTAACGATTATCATGAAAAATGGGTTCTAAAGAAATTCGGATAAATCGAAATTGTAAATTATTACATGGAAAACTTATTTATTTCAACCTAAAATAAAACCATATTTTCACTATATATAGTAATTATATATTTATATTTCTTTTAAAATATAAAATACTATATATTTATATATATATATACATAAAGTTTTAGACATACAGTAAGAAGAAACTTTTATATATATTGAAAAAATAAACCAAAAATTTGTTATTTAATTAATTTAATTATTTTGAAATTAACTTAAAACAGGGCTCACAATTATGGTATACTGATGGGTCCAAAAAGGAAGATGGCAGTACGGGAGCAGGAGTTATAGGACCGAAATTCCGCAAAGCAATCGCAATGGGAAAAACTGAATCCATTTTTCAGGCAGAGGTCCACGCCTTAGAGCTATGTGCAAGAGAATGCATACGAAGGGGCACCCGAGGTACCAAAATATGCATCCTTTAAGACACCCAAGCAGCTCTAAAATCTTTAGCAAAATCCTTATTCCAATCAAAGTTGGTCTGGGAATGCTTTCAACTTCTCAACACCCTAGCATCGAGGAACTATGTTACTCTTATGTGGGTACCGAGACAAGAAGGGTATGAGGGCAATGAAATAGCAGACTCCCTAGCAAAGAAGGGTGCATGTACTCCTTTCATTGGTCCAGAGCCCTTCTGCGGGGTAACTTCACAAATAGCTTCACAAATAGCTTATTATGTGAACGGGAGAAACAACATCTACTTGAACACTGGAGAGCCCAAACAGGCATGCGACAGTCAAAAAGATTCATTGATCCTGATCACATCAAAGTTGATGCTATCCTTGGCCTTAGCAGAAACGATATTAAAATCTGCACTGAACTTCTTACTGGACACTGTAGACTTAATTACCACATGAAGATTATAGGTGTAGTAGAAAGTGACGACCAGTCGACTCTGTCATGAGGAGAAGGAAACATCAGACGTAGACTCGATTACCTTAAAAGCGGGATATTAGTCTCAAGTCAAATAGGTAAAATTAAGCCCACAGCAATTACAAGATTTATAAATAGTCTAAAATTGGCCTAGTTGGGCCTCTAGGCGCACAATAGATCTTTTAGGTCGGGGTGCTTCAATAGCCTATTACTTAAATAAAAATAATAATTTAATTATTTTGTGTAATTTAGTAAACTATACCTAAATATTTCTTTTTTGACTGACACTTTCATCACTCGATATTACTTACTTACTTATTTACTTACTTAGTTGGCCATTACAGAGTGAGTCGTCCTTAGCCGCGATTTGTTGCTTGCTATCGCCAGTTGGTAGTACTTTTTTTTTTTTTGCAGTAGGTTTAAGCATCGAAAGCCACCGTGTGAGACTTGAACCCACTAAACCACCTCTTTGGAATGTAAGTGGAAGATTGCACCCGCAGATGCAATACCATTCCAGAATTAGGAGAGACAGAAAATAAGAGCTTAGTATCGTTGGTAGTACCAGCGCCCCCAAATCGTTGGTCACCTTGTCCTTCCACCGAAGATGCGGACGTCCTCTACCGCATTCTACCGCTTTCCACATTGTAATGCACTTCCACCTGCAGGTCCTGAATCAAACACATTTCTAGCCGGAACTCTTTCTTCCATTTGCACGATATGACCAAGCCAGCGAAGCCGCTGAATTCTTATACGCTTAACAATGTCAATGTCGCAGTATAGCTCATACAGCTCATCGTTCCATTTAATTCGATACTCGTCGCCAATGCGTAAGGGACCATCGATTTTTCAAAGATTTTCTATCTCGAATGCTTCTAATGCCTTCTCATCACTGTTGGTAATTGTCCAAGCTTTTCCACTATACAACAGGACAGGTATGATAAGAGATATGTAGAGCGTGATCTCTACAAATCACTCGATTATATTTGATACAATTCAAGCTCAATGTTAGCTGGATTCGAAGTAATTTTAGATTAAGGTATCTTGGAAATAAAATTTCTATTCAATTATGATAAAATCAAGGAAAGATTCTGAGAAGGATAACGCTCTTAATGTCACGTTACTAAAAAGGACGGGATACGTGTAGAACAGTAAACGGCTGCATCCGTCAACCTGATGCAAAGCCTCACTAATGATGAGACTAATATGGTCCTGATGCAAGAGCTATGGATATGTACTGATCTTGTATGCGGATTTAGAATAAGATCAGAATCTTGTTATATAATAAGAATCTTGCTATAGGTATCTCGTAAGTTCACCATTTTTCAGATCCGTATTTCTAAAAATCTTCTACAGATGAGTAAAATAGTCCTCATTCTGCGTTTTCATCAAATCAAGAAATTTTTTCGTTTTAACGCCCACTGCTATAGGTAGATATAGAGTCTTGTATCAGAATCTGTTATCCCCATTGCATATTGACAGCTTTGTACACTCCCATGCAGAAAACTGTGGTATCGCTGAATGCAACTTTTAATTATTCATGATTATAAGTAATTAAAAAAGTGGTGTCTAGTTTCCTTAATTAATATTTTTCACGATATTAAAGGCTTGTACTAGTGAAACAATAATTGGTTAACTTTTTTTTATGTATTCTTCTTCTTTCCAATTAATTAAGAAGACAAAAAAATGACTATTTAAATGGAAATAATAAATTTAGTACGTGGAGTCTTTCCAATGTTAATCTTTTGTTGTGAGTCATTTCTTTATTTATTATTTACTTTGGCCATAACAACCCGTTACCGGATTTCGGCCTGATGCCGCATGTCTTTCCAGACGTCTCTGCTACGTGCGCGCCTTCTCCTGTCTCGTAAATCAAGTGCGGTCGGGTTGCCTCAACTTGATCACTCCTCCGGAGACACGGTTTCCTCTACATCTCCTTCCCCAACTAATTATCCAAATACTTTTTTCGCTTTCATCCATTTTCATGACATAGCCCAGTCATATATACCACTGGATGTTAATTCGATGGATTATATCGACGTTGTGGTAAAGCAAGTACAGTTCGTAGTTCATTCGGATGCGGTAGTCATTGCCAACTTGTACAGGATCAAAAATTTGACAAAGAACTTTTCTCGCAAAAACTTCCAGGGCTGCTTTATAATTATGTGATAATACCTATGCTCCTATTCCATAGAAAAGCACATATACTTCATTATGCCCTCATTCACTGCTAAGTCCATTCTTGCAGATTCGTTTTCGATAACAGCAAAGGCAACTGTAACATCATGCTTGCTACGCAAAATAATGGCATTGTTGACGGAGTAAGCAAGGAGCTGGACATATTTATAAAATATTGTTCCATTACGATAAACACCTGCCTTGCATATGATCACTTTCTAATCGAAATTGAAAAGATCACATAAGGGATCATCTTGTCTGAATCCTCGCACAGTGTCAAAAGGTTTGGAGAGACTGAATCTTACGTTGACGGAGCTACGGGTATTGCCTAACGTTATTCTTCAGAGTAGTATTATCAAAAGCTGCTTTATAATAATAATAATAATAATAATACGCCTTGCTCGATAATTATGATTTCGAGCAGCCTCTTATACTGGGCATAGGCTGTCTATAAGCCGCTTCCACCTTTCGCGCCGTAACGCTACGTCCTTTATATCTGTAATGTTGCTTATGTTTCTTCCTAGGGGCTTCAAAATGGTGCTTACCAGGTGTACCGGTATGAAGTGAGCGTAAAGATACAAATATTCCGACAGGGAACATTTGTTGTGAACGACCCTTTTTTTTGGTTAATTTGCTATGACATGTGTGAAATATATTTAGTATACATCAAGTCATTGAACAGACAACATCATATTTTTTCATCGTGTTAAAAATGTCGAATTTTGTACCAGAAAGTGATGATTTGCGGAAAGCATTAATTTTTTATTTTCATTTGAAGAAAAGTGGTGCAGAGTCGCATCGAATGCTTGTCGAGGCATATGGTGATCATGCTCTATCAGAAGCAACATGCAAAAAATGGTTTCAACGGTTCAGAAATAATAGTGCCTATTATGAATTGCCTATCGCTGATAGACAGTAGAAAAATTTCTACTGCTGATAAACAAAATCAAATTTTGGTATTATGAAGTGCAAACCGATAGAAGTTTTTCTATCAGCGGTAGACAAATTTATCTACTGCATTTGAGCAGTAGAAGTTTCTCGATCGTATAAAATATATGCTGTTAAAACGCTTTATATAGTCAATTTATCATAAAAATTTAATATAACTTAAATATTACTAATTTAATAGTTAGTAATAATGCATTTAGATTTAATATAATATATATTTAAATTTGGTTTTTGCGTTAACTACAAAATATATTTATTCACGACGCTACCCAACGAACTTCCGTTATTCTTACTTCACTCGATTGTGACATTCGCTGTCACACATAGGTTAGGTGACCACATGTTGTTGAAAATTTTAAGGTGCCCAGTTGTGCGTTTCGGATGTAGGTTAACATATATTTAATATATTTGATTTCAAGTGTAGTGTTATATGTATATTGAGAATAATGATTGTTGCATTTTTGTTTTATTTTGTTATTTATTTATGTGTATTTATTCAAATATTTTCAACATACGCAAGCATTTTTCAAATTTCTTAGATATATTTTTCAACGAATAATGTATTTACATAAAATTAAGAAATAATAAAATTAATAAATTTTGTTGTAGGGAAAAATTGAGGAGCAATAAAAAGCAGATAGCAAAACTTGTTGCAAATATTGGAAAAAATATTGTTGCAAATAGAGAAAAAAGAAAGGCATTTGCAACAAGACACATTCCAGACCAATGTGGGACAAAATTACAATTGAGCTTAATAGTCTAGGCGCCTAGAAAATATTGAAAACATTTTAGTAAAGGGAGGCAAGAGTATTGTGATCAAAAACTTACTGTAATACAAGAAAAATTAAAATTGGCTATCGAAAACACCGACAAAAGATATAAATATCGGTCCTTTAACCTTCAACGTCAAGCACAATTAGAAACAGCAGTGGGGAAAGGACGCATCCTTGACGTACGCCAAAAATTGTACAAAAGGGCTCAGACAGTTTGTTGGTCAACAACTTTTACCATTCTTTCTAGAATAATTTTCATAAATATTTTCATCACAGAACTTGGAACCGTAATGCCGCGCCAGTTGTTACAGTCACTTAGGTCTCCTTTCTTAGATATTTTGATAAGTTTCTGTTAAGTTTCTGTTTCCCAAATGGTTTTGAAGAGCGGGTATAAGATATCCGTTGTTAGTTGCAAATCAACTTTCAACGCTTCGGCCGGAATATTGTCAAGATCTGCAGCTTTTCCGTTTTTCTGCAGTTTCACCATATTGCATTGGTTATTTCTCTTTTTGAGGGATGATCAACCCTAATCGGTAACTCATTTACGTTGTCATTTTGCGTTATCAGAGAATTCTTTCTTATCGTCCCGAATTGCAATTTTGACACGTTTGTCCAGATGTGTGTACTCCGTTCTCTTTCGCTCATTTTCGATCATTAGGCTTCTTCATGGCATTTATTTCATTTTTGAGTTTTGCTCGTTGTTTTATCATTTTCCAACTTTGTGCTGAGATGAAGTCGTCTTTGATATTATTTGACGCTCTACCTAAGGTTACCATACAGGTTTCATTAATAGCATTTTTATTTTGTTCCAGCAATGTTCGGGATTTAGGTTGTCAGTAGGAGCAGACACTTTTTCAGAGAAAAATGTTGCTTTATATTTGGTGCTTTTAATTTAGAGACCTTGTATTTAATTCTGCTACAGTTAACCGCCTCCTTAATTCTTTTTGGGTTGACTAGTATTTTGCCAACTAGTAGGTGGTGATCAGAGCTGATATCGGCACCTCGTTTATTTCTTACATCAATTAACAATTTTAGCATTAAGGTCGCCCATCACAATTTTAAAATCTTTCTTTGGTGCTTTAGCAATTGCAGTGCTTAGCTTGTCATAAAAAGTATCTTTATCATTTTCGTTGGCATCTTCAGTAGGCGCATAGCACTGAACAATCGATATATTTTTCGAACGATACTTTAATCTTATCATCATTATGCATTCATTTATTAACTTGTACTCTATCACAGAATCGAGGCATTTAGCATTTACTAATATTCCTACACCGTATTGGTGTAAGTCATTTTCATTTGGTGTGCCTGACCAAAACATAACGTGACCTTTTGGGGTTCTAATTTGTCCACATGCATTCCATCTAACTTTGATCATGCCCATAAAGGCTAATGTGTAATTTTCAAGTATTTTTGCCGCCTGGGCCAGTTTACCCGCACTATATAGCGTTTTTACATATAGGTTCCAAATCGTAATCCATTTTCGTTGTTTTTTTCGTCATCAAGTTTGGGTTCAGATTTTCATTTCTTATAGACTTTCTGGTTTTTATGAAGCGGTTTACGCTTCAGGTACAATGAGTGATCGGCCCGTTGTACCCTAACCTGATGATGGGGCTGCCATCAGAGCCATCAGGTATGACTGGAAAGTTAAAAAGTTTAGGGAAGAAAATTTTTGAGAATGTGCCTCGGCTTTCGCATTTTCAGGCAGAGGACTTATTACGCCGGTCCTTGATCGGCGCGTCGTCAGTAATTTGTGGTAACAGGTTCGCCATGAAAAGGCTTACCGGCGGACTTGTTGAGGAGAGGCTAGATATTGATGTATTGCGCTGTTTATGTTTTACTTCCGGAATCACTCAACCGTTTATGAACCCAAATATGTTTATGTTGCTTTATAATCAACAAAAAGGTGGTGAGTGTTCAAATGTGACCAAATCATTGAGTTTGCATGACAGATATTAGGCTGACCTCGCGATAGTTGGCGCAAATCGTCAAATCGCTTTTTTTCAAAACAGGACATGTGCTACTGAGATTCCAATCGCTGTGCACAATTTCATCCAACTATATTCTGCAGGTAAGCGGAATTGATGATATCATCGCCAGATAGTAGTTTGAACAAATGTTCCTTCCGTACTTTCAGTGTACTCTTTGTATCCATTGCCTTGAGCCAACCGGTTGACTTTTTGATAAAATTTACGGGCATCATTCCTGTATCTACACTTCTCGCTTTTCTCTCGCTTGCACCTTTCTTGATCTCCTCTCTTTACTTTTCTCATCTCCCAATTTTGTTCACTGACGCTTCGCGTAACTGCTGTCTACAGGGTCCTTTTATGACCCTGTTCTTCACACCAGAAAATCAGCGACACTCCTCGTCGTACCATTGGTTTCGTCGTAAAGAAACGCTGGAAACCATGGACATCTTTTGCAGTTGTGCGTAGGGAGTGAGAGGTATATCCTCATTGTCTACCGGAATTATCAGGACGGGAACGTTGGTTGTTTAATTGGCTAGATAGTTGAGCAGCCAAGACATCGGCTGTCTGTCGTGATCGCAGATTACAGACATCAAGATTTTTCTGTGCACTACCACAAGGTAGTGGTCTGAATCGATATTTGAACCACGGAATGAACATACGTCCGGCGGGCCTGCAATCATAAAGGTATCTTTGGTCAAGTCGTCTTTTTTTCTGTCGACGCGTAAGCCAAATTAAGATGGTGTTGAAAATTAAGAATTGTAGCAAGTCTTTCATTTATCGGTGTGTATCGCTAGACTGATTTTGATAGTCTCTTGCTAACCACAAAGCCATATCGAAATCACGCCTATTTGCCTGTCAGTTGGAGTAGATAACACTTTTTGCTGTTTTAGAGTAGCTTTGTCTTGTTCGATCGCATTTTACTGTTGTACTGCATTTTAAATATTTAAACGTATTACTGCCTTCCTTAATTTTAAATTCATAACATATTTCAAGCGTGACTTCCTAAATATAAAATATTTATATAAGGCATATCACTGCATTCCTGAGTTTTAAAATATTTATATTTTTTGTTTTTAATATAACATTAAAACGACGTTATAACGTCTTTTAACGTTTTTGTTTTAAAACTCTTCTTTATATAATATTATTTTCAACATATTAGGGGTATTCACGATGTCTGTGCATCGTTGCATGTGCAAAATTATTTGATTTTACAAAAACAATTCCCTTATAAATAATTCTGCACTTGATTTGCAAGACAATATTCAAGACCATATTTTCAACACCAATTACCTTTTGTATATTTGATTTTCAAGACGCTATTGTGAATGATACTACTTTTTTTATTGTTCGCTTTAACCATTAAATATTAATGAAAATACTTCTTGCCGTTTCATTTTACCATTTCTGTTAAATGATGCTGATATTTTCGGCACAATCTCATTTTCAGTTGTGGTATTTTTGGAGCAATACTTATAGCTGTTTATGTTATGGAAATGCATCCGTAGTTCTTTAAGATTTTCAAATTTTTCCTTTAATATGCCAAAGCAGAGCTCAACACATATTCGGTATATGCTATTTCACAAATTGAAAGCAATTCGTAAGTATCTACTCATCTAATGCGCATTATATCTGTTTGGTGTTAATACATATTCTGATAAAGGATATGCTGAATCATAAAGGATATGCACAGTGGAAATGTCTTTTTCTAAATTATCCAAAATGTTACTTATTGCATCGTCATCATGAGTATCAATTTCTGAAATTCGTATGAATATAAATGCACTGCTATATTAAACATATAAATGCACGAATCTAAACTAGTCATTAATTCCGCAACACCAAAATCCAGCTCAGTATTCAATATATTCTACTTTTCACTTTTTCTTGGCATTGTTAAATACGTAAACAAAAATCAGCTGTTCTAAATAATTTCAAGACTAATATGCACAAAGTGTGTTCACGATTATTTAAATTTGCAACGATGCACAGACGTCGTGAACACCCCTATTGTTAATACAAAAACATAAACAGCCAACGATTGTGAATATATTTGATTGACCGTGTAGGGGTAGTATTATTTTGAACCACACAACCACTTGTAAGTGAGGTATGAAAATAATCAAAATCATATGAGTAGTCATAATTTGTTATTACTGTGGCGGTTCGCAATTTTGAAGTCGGCAAGTGTAATTCCAACAAAATGTACAGAAAAGTAGATCCACGTCGGACAACATTAGTACAGAAAAAAATTTGTAAGAAAGAACTTAATACCAATCCGATTAAATCCGCAATTGCAAAATATGATAAGTCTGGAAACATTTCTTGTGTACTATGTGGAACAGTTTTAAAATCATCTAATGTGTGGAAAGTTCATGTTAATTCAAAGCAACATAAACAAAATGTTGTAATCGCTACGAACATGAAAAATGAATTACGTTTAAAGCCAAAAATATCGGAACCTGCCAAAATAGAAACAAAATGTAAGGATATAAAAGAGATTTCTTTAAAAAATGAAAGAAGTGCAGCAATTACTACAAGTGAACGGACCGAAACAGATAGCAAATCCCAATTACCTGAAAAATTCTTTGACGACCCTTCTAAAGATGCAATGTCTAGAAATGTTGACTACAAAAATCTTCAAGATGATGAATGGGCAAAATTTCAACGTGAAATTAGAGAAGTTACCACAATTTCTAATGCAATAGTGATTGAAGAGAGGAATGAAGCATCTATAGCTAGACAAATTGATGAAATTAATGATCAAATGTTAAGATGGTCCAAATTTATACAAATTGAACGGAAAAAAGAAAGTTTTCGTAAACCAGAAGAAAAACAAAAAAATAAGGAATATACGGAAACACAAAATTTTAATGAAGACAGTAACGAAAGTATCGACTTTGATGAGTTTTCGGATTGGAGATTAAAAACTTACACAGCAAAAAAACCTGTTTGAAAAACGTTTCTGTAGCACAGCTGATTTATAATTAAAGTTGGAAGCTATCACTTGTTACCCCAAATATAAAAAAAATCCAAAAGAAAATGTATATATGGTATAAAAATGAAACTACTGGAAAATTGTAATTAAAAAATTTGTCAGAAGGTATTTCATACTGAATTTGGATTAAAATGTCAGAAGTATTTGAATATTATATTTACACATAAATGCGTTACTATCAGAAATATATTCATATGTATATCAAGCGTTAATGAGCATGATATTTATAAATAAACTTTATATCGTACATGCATATGGTGTTTTATTTACAAAAAGGAAAAGAACATTTTTAATATTACTTACTTGATTGGCCATTACAAACGTGAATCGTCCTTAGCCGCGTCGAGTAGCCTTCGCCAGTCAGTCTGATTTGTTGCTTGCTGTCGCCAGTTGGTAGTACCGAACGCCTCGTTGGTCACCTTGTGCTTCCACCGAAGATCGGGTCGTACTCTACCGCCATTCACACGACGCTGAACTCTTATGCGCATAACTATGTCAATGTCCCGGTATAGCTCATACAGCTCATCGTTCCATCTAATTCGATCCTCGTCGCCAACGCGTATGGATTCATAGATCTTCCGTAGAATTTTTATCTCGAATACTCCTAACGCCTTCTCATCACTGTTGGTAATTGTCCACGCTTCTGAACCATACAGCAGGACAGGCATGATAAGACATTTGTAGAGCGTGATTTTTATTTTTCGAGAGAGGACTTTATTTCTCTATTGCCTACTTAGCCCGCAGTAACATCTGTTGGCAAGAGTGATGCTTCATTGAATTTCTAGGCTGACGTCATTTTTGGTGTTTAAGCTGGTTCCTAAATAAGCAAAGTCTTTCACAACTTTGAATTTATAATTATCAATACTGACGTGGGTCCCCAGACACTCCGGAGATTTGTTTTTGACAGAAAGTACCATTTTTAATATTAGCATTGCATAAACAAATAATCATTATGTAATATATAATAATTTATTAGTATCAATCAATTAATATATAATGATGAAATATTGTTATTATATAATATATAATGAATTGTTATTATGATATATGATATAATATGAATTATTATAAAATATAAAATAAATTAATTAATTTACAATGCGTTATTTTTATATAATATATTATATATAAACATATACTATTTTATTTTACCTTTTAAATTTGGGCATAGCCAACATACGTTTTCATCGTGACCAAAAAGCGTCAAATTGTCGTAACCATTCGTCATATGTTTGTCTATATAACACGACCGTGTAATAATATAAACAACACTTTTCCCCATTCTATCAGAACGCTCTAAGTACGCAAGCCATAGACATAAAATATTTAAGGAAACTAACTCATTAATTTAATAAACACCTTCCTTTAAAGGTTTTATTAAGCTTACAACATTAAAATTACAATATTAAAATTGTTTTTTGTCAAAGTCCTTTTTTTTTATTAAGTCTTTATTATTGATGAAAAATGTATAAGTGCAGTAATTCAAAATCAAAATAGATGGTGTATCTCAAGGTTTTAAAATGATTGAGTCATATTTTCTTAGAACTGGTACTTCTCATAATTCAAAATTATTAAAAGTCAAAACACCCAAGGAGGAAGTTATCCGTTAATCTATAAGAAACTCACCTCTGAAGTTTATACGTACGATCACAGGTATTGCAGCCGAAGTGTATTCTGCACTTTCTTTCGCTAAAGTCAGAAACCTATTGTGCAGTGACTAAGGTGCGGGGGTGTGCGACGCACACCCTAACATTATTTGCAAAATCTCAAATAATATATATAATTTTATCAAGAATTAATATTATTTATTACATTTCCAATTATAGCAGCTAAGAAAAGCTAATTGATTGAATTAGCCAATTATGTGTGCGGAAAAGTTGGACGCACATTAATACGTTGCAACTGCATTTTACAAATTTCTGTCGTTAGTTATGCTAAACAGAAAAATGAACAAAATAATGTGCGTGTGCTCTTGTTTGTAATATTAGAAATAGAGATTTATATAGTGGGAATTGTATGAGAGTAATTTTCTGTTCTATTCGAATATCAACTGCATGCATATGAATTAAAAATGTTGATTTGCCGAAGCGGTTAGGTGTGCACTAAAGCAGGATATAGACAGTGCTACATGTTTGCAGACAAGGTATGCGTGCTACAAGATCACACCGTCTATATTCAAGATTGCATACCAAATTTCGGTCTGAGACATGTATCCGTTAAAATTAAAACTTTTCAATTATTTGTTAAGTCTGCACACATGTCTGCTTGTGTATATCAAAATCTGCAGACTTCTCATAATTCAAGAATTTTGGTAAGCGTCGAACGAGCAAAAATCGCGGAAAAAAATTGTAAAATAATTGAAAAAGTTGTAGACATTTATTTTCTTTAAAAGAAGCAAATTCGAAAAAAAGTGCTACAAACAATTATTAAAGAAGTTTATATATTTTAAAAATTATTTTGTGAATAAAAATATTAAAATGCAACATTTTAAAGAATTAAATTAAAAATAATTTTAGTTAATTCTAAGAAATATGAAATCTTTATATAATGAAATAAATAACATATTGTTATTATCATCATATCAATTCCTTCAATTTCGATTACTATTTTGTACTCTACTTGCTCTGCTATTGTTTAGTACGCTGTAGAAAATAAATTAAAATAAAGTATGCATTCCTCGTTTCAAGTGTATAGTAAAGCGCATACTTGAACTTCATACTTGGTGTGTAGATATGTAGCATCGTCTATATCATGCTTAAATTAATGCATTTTAGTAGTTTCAATCCAGAACACATTATTAATATGTCTAAAATATTCAGTTAAATATAATCATAAGGTTTCTGATTCAACTCGACTCTGAATATGATCTTGTCCTCTTTTTAATCAGCAATTTCCACTCGTCCAATCCCATTTACAAGAGGGAAGGAACCAAGCCAGAATGGTGTTTGGTGGTAATTTCAGGGAATTATAAACTATGAGCTGCTCCCCTTCGGAAAAACACTTAATTCAGAACTGCTTTGTTAACGGCGTATATTTGATCTGAATCGGATCATTCTAACTATGGTAAATAAATCTTCAATTTCACCAAAAAATTATGGATTTCTTCCATCTATTATTATGCTGTATTCTTAATAAAAATCTACTTTTTGTAATAGTAAGAAAAACAAAAAATTTATATAAAAATCTTGACATGTAAATGTATTTTGTGTTCATTTGTTATTGTTTTAAATTTATTTTACATCACATCACGATTTATTCATATAAATATTTTTCAATCCAACGCGGTAAAGCGAAAGCTGAAGAATGTACATTCGATGTATAATATTTTAATCCCATTAAATCCAGTTCTGATGAATTATATTTTTGTACTGGAGAAATGAAATTGACATTATCTTCATCGCTTGCAATAACGAAGCCAATATGACCACATGGATAAGACGGTACAGAAGTTACAGCGTATTTAACCGTTTTAAAGTATTTGCTACTATTTTTCATTGTATTTTTAATGTTTTCAGAATCCAGCCAAAAACTACCTCCTTGTGCACAAACGATCCCATTGGGCCGAAGAGCAGTTTTCATTAATTTATAGTAATTTTCTTGAAATAAGGAAATAGCTGGTCCAATTGGATCAGAGCTGTCCGTTATGATAACATCAAATGTATTTTCGTGAGCCTTCATGTACTCAAAACCATCTCCAATAGTTAATTTTAATTTTGGACTTTTGAAACCACAAGCCATATTTGGTAAATATTGTTTCGAAAGTTCTACTACTCTATCATCTATTTCGACTTGATGAATTTCTTCAACTAATGGATGTTTAGCCACTTCACGTGCAACGCCACCATCTCCTCCACCAACAATCAACACTTTTTGAGGTTTTTGGTGTATACATAGAGGAAGAAAAGAAATCATTTCCTGATAGGAAAATTCATCTCGAGATGTGCATTGAATGATGTTGTCCAAAGCCAAGCAAGTTCCATAAGTTTCCCTTAAAAAATATATATTATTAGTGAAAAATTGGAAGCAAATGTATAAATATAGATATAAAAGAGCACAATATTGATATAAATATATATTCCACAGATGATACTAAAGAGAGGTAAGTATATGGTAAAAAATTTTTTCTAATCAGAATTTTTGCAGTTTACTCAATTCTGTTTTATGTTATGTATTGTCAAGGAGTGAAGCTTTCATATTTTTGATTTTTACGTTAAATGAACCTTTTCAGGACTTACAGATTGATTTGTATACAGGGTTTGTCGCCAGACGCCACTAAAAAACATAATACTTAGGAATTGAAAACCGAATTTTAACGACCTCGAACGAAGGACGATAATTACGGATATACATCTGAAATGCCCAAACCATCTATAGGTAACACGCTTACGTCCAACTGAAGGGTGGTCTCAAAAATGCAGGGCTGACGTCACCGCCATTAAGGAAATGCGATGGCAAGACAAAGTTGCGCAAAAAGTGCAAACAGTGATATCTTCTACAGCTGCATCCAAATGGTAGTGAATTTTGGACTGATTTTATAGTCAGAAATAGACTACCGCACTCAGTCCAGCGGTTCACACCTGTAGGAAAGGTTAAAACGACGTTAAAACGATTTAGCTCCTCATCAACATGGATTGCGCAAACATCACAGCATCACTTTCCCTATTTTCGAGATCACAACTTAAAGCTCCAATAACCTAAACCAAAGTTGACCGTGTAAACGCACTTTGCTAGTTAGTCTTGATCTCGCAAAGACATTTGATGCAGTTTTCCGTAGCATCTTGTTAAATGACTTGGTTGTAATATTTATCCCTAATTTCACAAAACGATAACTCTGCAGTTATTTCATAGGCAGATCATCTTTCGTTGAATTTAGAGATAAAATGTCAAAAGCCAAGAAATTAAAACAAGGTGTTCCCCAGTGCAGCGTGCTCCTACCGATCCTTTTCAACTTATAGGTATATGTCTAAACTACCAGACTCCCAAATCTTCATGTTGAATCAAATATGCTTCTTAAAAAAGAATATAATTAACTGGCGTCCTAGCAATACCTTCTTGCGTGCCACACAGATGGACATCCCAATGACGCTATTTTTCTCCATAATGCATCCGTCGAACCCTCTCTTCTTATCCTAGATAAATCGACACCTTTTACAATAAAGCTAACTTCAGTGAAGTCGAATATAACGAGGACTTACAGCCCTTCACACAAATACAGTATCCTCTTAAGACCAAGGTTGTCACACAACAAGGTATTTACTCTTGCAACAATAACTGTCCCAGTTTAATTGACAGCAGGGGGTCTATTCCGCAACTGTGGTATCTGAAGTGTACACAAAAATTTGCTTACATTTTGACTTTGATATTCCTCAACTGTGAAAAGTGAGTTTATCTGTCAAAAAGTGTACACTTTTCTCAAATTTTATTCGCCGTATATTTGGCCGTAAGTTTTTAAAAAAACATAGGAACTTTTGTGCAAAATTTAATGTATTATTATAATGTATTATTATTTTTTATGGGTTTTAAAAATGTAAAAAAATAAAAAACAAGCAAAAACAGCAAAAGTTTCTGCTCAAATATCAATATCGAATTTTCTAACGATAATTAAATTTAGAAACTTATTTTGTAAGAACTGTAAAAAAATTATCAAAATATAAAATAAAAATTTTTAATATAACAATTATTATAAAATCGCATTATAATTAGTAAAATGTCTACCATTTTGTTTAGTTATTTATTTTCAATAACTGAGTTTATTCAGTGTAAATACAAATTTCTTCACTGACAACTGTCGAAAATACATTCAGCTGTTATAATTTTACATTCAGCACGAAAAACGCACTTGCACTTGGGGAATACCATTTTACAAGAAAGTGTAAACTACGGTGAGAAATGAGTTTTCCGTTTGCGTGTATACAAAATTTTTTTCAAAGTTGCGGAATAGACCCTAAGGATATAGCCGAGTACTTAACAGTAGTTAGATCCTAATATGGAATTTCTCAATGAATTAATGTTGACACATTTTCCGGGCAGCATCGACGGCATCAGGTGGAAACGCAAATGTCAAATAATTACTACGTATTCAAATACGATGACGCAGATATTATCAACAGGAATAATATTGCGTCGCAATTAGTTCCTTTGATATATGAAACCCTATGGTTTCTGCTGAAATTATACCTGAAATTATACCTATCTATACTTTTTATACTTTTTTTATACTTTTTCTACTATGCTATATTGGAATATATGGCTTATTTCTCGATATATCAATGCTAAGAAATGTAAACATTTTATAAAAACTGCACCCCCATCTTGCACCCACAATATGTGCAATGTTTGCATTGATAACATAAACGACTAGTTACAAGTGAACGGGGTTTTCATATAAAAATTACAAAATATGTAAAGACCCATGTTTAAAATAATAAACTATATTAACATATGAATTGCTAAATATTATGATCTAATGTGAAAATTATTACATATTTCCTAACTTACTCATTGAAAAAATTTGTTAAATATTGATTTGATATCACGTATTATCCTTTTATACTAAAATTCTTCCAATTACTTATTGTCATTTCCTTTAAGGCAGATGTATTTATAAATAATTATAAAAAAAAAATTAACGTATAGTATATATAGTAAACATTAACATATAAAATCCGTTGTTAAATCTGACAATGTGTTTAAAAAATAGCAATTGTGTCTAAAGTATGTATACCTATATGGCGTTTCTTTAATTGATAAGATTTTATAAAACACATATTTTATATATTGATACCTAATCTTAATGTTAATGTTACATTAATGTATTATATATTATATTATATATTATATTATATATTATATTTCGTTTATAAATTAATATTTACACAATTTACATTTATTGTATAATTATTTTATCAATTAATAATAATAATAATAATAATTAATTATTATTAATAATTAATTATAATTAATTATTATAATTATTATTAGTTATTACACTACAATTACAATTTACTAACTTTAATATATTTATTATAATATTTAAATTTCGATATGCATTTTAATTCAAAAAAGTACAAGTCTTTGTAGTCATTCATTCTAATTATTCTGTCAAAGAAAAACATTTTTTAACATTATTGACATTAATATAAACGCTTCTTACTGAAATAATGAAACCTAAGAAAACTCTAATAATTTACATAAAATAATTAATTTTAAATTTTAATTGTGGAATTGTTGGAAGCCATTATCATTATTATTATTCATAAACACGTGGCTCAGTTTATTGTGTAAATTGTACTTTAATACTTGAAGTGCTAGAAATGTATTTTTTGTGAATTACTTATTCATAGTTACATTAAGAATATAAGTAAACGCCAACAGTTATTTTTTATTAAATATAAATACCATATATCACTCTTTTATTAATATGGAACAATATTAGTTCTAAACTTTATTAATACATACGTTTCAAATATTTTGATGTTTTGATATTTGGAATTTTCTTCATGTAGCTTTTTTTTTATTTTAAGTGAAAACGACTGTCCTGGCCACAAATCATTTTGTACTTCTCTAAACCAATTATTTTCAATATCACTCATATCTAAACAAAGCCCAAAACACGTGAAACACAAACGCCAGCACTCTTAACTCCAAGAAACTGATTGACTAAATGAAAACACTACTTAACACAGAGAAGAGTAAGAAAAAATGTTTTTTCTACTTTTTAGCAATATACTGATCTACACTGAAGTATTTTTTTTCATTAAGTATAAATGTTCATACTCAATGGTTCATCTTATTAATATCGCATATGTATTAGTTAAAATCGAATCTTATTGGTATTTATTTGATAATACTTTTCAACCATGTATACAAATTTTTTTGTTTTCGAGTTCATGTTAATAATATGAGAAACATGTGTGTATGCTGGAACTCGATGTTTGTTTCTCTTATTCAGCTTACTATAAATCGATAATAGTTTTTTTTTTGAATATTACTTTTAAATATTATTCGATATTATTCTATATAAATATGGGCTGTGTTTCATCAAAATATACTTATTTATATGTTATTTTCTCCCGTTAAAGTATTTACAAAATATGATTTAACAAATAATCTTTTATACATACATATGTAATAAAATTTTTTGTTACAAGCATTTTTTCACCGGAAAATGCCACGTAAATTGAATATTTCCATGCACATGTTTATGTTTTTGTTTTGATTTACTTTTCATGTTTATCTGAAGCACATGTGCGCCTACCCATGCTTACGTTTTTAGCATACATACATACATATTTGATTCATTCATATTTTAGTTTGTGTTTTCGAATGATAATGATTACTGAATTAATATAAATTAATATTTCTTGATTTAGAACGTGATTTGGGCGACTGTGATCCATGGAGCAACAAATTATGATATAAAAAACTATTGGTCTTTCTTTTTTATAACTTAAATGAATATTAATTATGATTAAGCAGAAAAAGCATGAAGGGAACAATTTAATAAATATATGATACTTTAAATCGTGTTACTTTTTTAAGTCACCGCGTAGAAATAAAGACTAACACTCTACTGTATGCATTATTGTAAACAAAACTTAAGTTCTTATATTGTACAATAAATTGGTTATATTTTTAAGAAAATAAACAATGTTGTTTTGGAGGTGTTTCTCTATTTGAAAGAATGACTTATGCAAAACTTAAACTTGATGTTGAAATTCACATTATATCCACTTTATCGTATTAAATGCAATAATAATAATAATAATCACATTAACACACTATTTTTAATACTCTACTCGCTTTTATAAACATAATTGCTAGACTAGAGTAAGAAAGAAAAAATGTAAAGAGATGCCAGTACAAAATACAAAATTACGAAGTCCACTATTGTAATCCCAAAGTGCGGTCTTACATGTCCCACTGAGTAATTAATAACTATGTCATATTAGTTGACTGTTTTAAGTCGATATATTAAGTCGATATATAAAATGTGAATCTATTCATTCGTAGCAAATTTATTGAAAACACGAAACTCAAATTTTTAAAAACAAATATTTTTATTAACCCTTTAAAACTATAACTTTTGAATTTTAATCCGTTCTTCCCAAAAATCTAATTGCCGAGAAGAAAAATAGCTTTCAAATTTGAGCTAACAAAACGATGAAAAATAAAAACAAGAAGAAATTACTCCATTTTTGTCACATAGTGTTATTACAGAAAAATCCTTTTTTTGTACAGTTCAAACATTATTCTGTTGAGAAAAATACCTATTACTATTTAGTTTTATTTATTTTTAACCTACATATCTTTTTAAAATTAATCTCACGCAAATAAATATTTCACGAAAAATAAAATAAAAAGATATTGTACCAAAGATAAATACTTTCTCTGATTTAAATGTAGTTATTTCTCTCTTTTATCGTAGGCCAATTGTGAATTTTTTTAATTAGTCTTATTTTGGGCCAATAAATCGATCAATATAACGATCAATATATATGTAGGCATCCAAAATATCCATAAATATTTAAGAAAATCGATAGCCCCCCGTAGTACGAAGATCACACCCTTAGAATTTGCCACAACACCGAACTGTAATTTACATAAACAAGTCCTTAAACTAAAGGATTGATAAGACCAAAGCCGTGAAATCATTAAATCATAAACATTAAAAATAAGAAGAAAAAATTCCATTAACAAATATATAAGAGTATTTATCTGAAGAGTTATACTGTGTGGTAATATCAAATAATGATTATGAAAATTAAAAGATATTATTTTTACAATAAGACATATTTATTGAATTTTTTTCATTGAAGCGCATGTTTCAATTAAAAATATAATTATTGCTGCTAAATTGCCTAGTATTATTACATAAAATGGTAATTGTAAATCAAGTAATGTCAAAATTTTCCATTTTTCCGAAAAATTATCAAAGTAATGAGGAAAATTGTTGAGTGACATTTTAGCCTTATGTTTCATTTCATTTACCCAAAAGTCAATCAAACCAGCTTGCAGTAGCTTAAGTAGCCATAAATCTAATGGATCCTGTAAAGGAAAGTGTTTCGGATATACAAAAGCAATGTGATAATGCTTAGGGCATTCAGGAATCAAATGAAGTTTTTTTGTTATAAAGTAACGAATATCATCTAGATATAGAGATGATAATCTTGTTACCGCAGCAAATCCTCCACGTTTTGCCATCATCGTAATTAATCTTTCTTCCGTTTCTCCAACAAGAAAAAGTTTTTTATTTAAATTTTGATAAATGGGCGAACTATGTCCATAAAATAAATCGTCTCTCATTGCGGCGTGCTTGATATAAATTTTTAATTTTGCTTCATTTAACTCATCCATTGTATTTATATTTTTATAATAAAATGGTCTTATATAAGCTGTTGCTAAACAAGATTCAAGAATTGCTCCAAATATAACACTTACTAAACATAATGATATAACGAACATTCGTTCAGAATGAAACGGTGGAAACGATACAATTGCTAATCTGACCCATACAACCCAAGTATTGATATATATATGAGTATACTGAATTTTGGAACGAAGTGAATATTTAATTGGGCTTATAACTTTTATTTGAAGGTATAAATTTAACCATCGCAATGCCATCCAGAAAAATGGACATACTGAACCGGCTAGAAGAAAAGCAAACCATACGTCCATGTCCACAGCATATATAGGAAGAATGGATTGTGGTACTCGATTTGCACTTCTTACATAACAACACAACTTATCCGCATATACAGAAACTGAAAATTGTATTTCATTTGTTAGATAATCTTTAATGAAAAATCCAGTAAAAATTATATCGGCTTCGTTTCGTAATACACGTCCTATGGCACCATTAAAAGATTTATTTTCTAAACGATATCTACTCAAGTGAAAGAAATAAATATGTTAATAAATAGTTAAGTTTGTATGTAGAAAACGTACCCGAAAAACTCATCGTCAGGCCATTGTAACAACATGGAAAAGTTCATTTTATGGCTCATGAGTTTTGCTATATTTCCATCCACTCCTTTTACGTCAGTAATTGCTTTAAGCGTATTGTCTCCAATAATATTTGAATAAACTGAATCAAATATATAAACTCGCAAAGCATATCCATTTAAATTCTTAAATATATCATTTATGTTGTTAGTATTTGCATCGACTAATGAACCAAAACTATTATTCCTTTTTGCAAAAGGATTAAAGAAAACGGTATTAGACGGTGTAAAGTAATATATTTTAAAAATAGCCTTATCTATCCAAATTTGCTGTGCCAAATATGAGAGAGATTCGCTATCAGGTTCATCTAACAGAACACATATAAATGTTCCCGATTTAACCGTAAATTTATTTAATATATAGCTCAAATCATTGGTGGTAACGACAAATAAACGATGTCTTTGATGATAATGAAGTATTACATTTTCGAAGTTTGCAGTGTTTAAAATTTGAATAGGCAGCCTGCTTTCATTTAATATAAATTGTATTAACTTATTATTAAATAAATCTGAGTGTTTTATATAAACGTTTAAGTAATCAATATTAGCCATAACTCGTTGTAAAATAGTTGTGTTATGTGTTGTTAATAAATTAACAGAATTTATATTAGAAATAATTTTATATTCCAATCCATTCAAGGCGTTAGCTGCTAAAAGTAAAATAGAAAACTCTAAAAACTTCATGTTAGAAAAAATTTCTACCGTCGCCTCAATTACCTCAAAGGATTGCCTTTTATACAAAAATATTACAGTCTTTACATCTTGATAAATGTATCTATTATGACTTAAACATAAGTAGGTATATATTTATACATTTTCTTTCATTATTTGTCATATATGAAATGTTTGTATGATTTTTGATTGTATTTTATTTATTCAGTGTCACTTCGTGAATATTTTTTGTATTTATAGAAAGCGTTTGTACAGGATTTTAATAAATAAAAATCTTATCAATATAATAAATATAAAAATTGTAATATTGTTGTAGAAGAATTTAATGTAAATACATGTCAACTTTATTTACAAAATTGGTATACTATTCTATAGTTATTCTTATCGCACATTTGACTTATAAACTTGTAAGGAATACAAAAACGTTAATAAAAATTTTTTTTTGATCGCAAAAATATTATAAAAATTGTCTGACAAAGTAATTGGAGATATACGAAATATATTAAATACAATAATTTCCCCTACAACCAAAGCAAACCCAGAAACCAAACACAGTTATAGTATTTTCACAAACCTATCAGCTCCTTATCTAAAGAAAACAAATTCTAATTTAATGGTATTGCAACGTTAATAATAAATGTCTTATGTGAACAAAAGTTTATTTACATAGAAAAGTTTTTAAAAATTAATTAGTTGAAAACTATATTTGTTGACCCAAAAGATTAACTCTAACAAAGACGCACAGCCCGTGGATTAGCGTTGCTTTTATGTTTTTATTATGCCCGTTAATAGCTGTTATCGTATTATGCTCGCTTATGCATATACCTAGAGAATTGAATAAATGAATAAATTACAACTAACCACTAACCCTTTTTATCTCATATTGAATACATAGAAATCCATTAATTATGTAAAATGTAATGCGAAATTTATATACAAATTTAAACTTTTACACTTTCAACACTGTTATGCACATTATGTGATTATTTTAAATGTTATGCATATCTCAATTATGTATATCAAAAGCAAACAGTCACACAGCAAAAAAATTTTCGAAAAATCTAAAGCATAGATGATAGTTGTAAGAGAATACTCATACTGATGAGCTCCAACTAGCACTATAGCAACAATTAAAATCTAAATAAATCTATTATGAAAACTATTGCTACTTTAATTTCTAGTTTTATTTTCATTTAACACAAAAATAAATTTATAAAATTATATATATTTAGTAATTTCTTCTAATAATAGAACAGAGATAATTAATGTATTTGCGCTTAGAGTGTAATAGAGTACACTGATAGTAAAATGGAGGGTAGCTTCGGTGCTTGTATGAAAATCAATACAGTAGATATATAACAAATAAATTCTAATTTAAAAACACTTATTAGATACACTTTTCAATGTAATATTAAGCACTACTTTCTGTAATTATTTAACTAAAGTATTAACTATACAAAACTATTTCAAAATCAAATTATCAGGTAAAACTATGTACTAATGTATGGTATATTGTCACTAATGCCATACCAGATTTTAGTTAATCTTCTTAGGATACAATAAACACAATGTAATTAGATTTTTTTAAATGTATATACGTCACTAAAAAAATTAAATATATCTTAGAATAAATTTCGTATTTTAAAAAGTTACAATTTTGAAATATAAACTTATAATTTATTGGTATTCTCCTGGGCTTGAAGATTGGCCAAACGAAAACACTTTTGAAGGATCTCCCAAGGCAGCAGGATCTTCAGACGGTGGACCAGGAGTACGAAATTGTTCAGCAGAAAGACGTGTAAATAGTATACCAACTCCTTCAATTAATGCTAAAAGTACACCACCAATAATTGCACTTCCAGCCATAGCAGGTATTCCTATTAAAAATAAATTTATTTTTATAAATTAAATTTGTAAACTTATACAAATCTTTTTACCATTTCTTGCAGCTAATATACCACCAGTTGCAGCACCACTAATAATAGAGTTCCATGGATCTTCTTTCTTTCTATAATGAACCAGTGTACAATCTATTGTACTAAACATACCTCCCCAAACTGCAAAATTTCCAGCTATGACGGGAGAACGCGTTTTAATAGCCGACAAACTTCCGATCTAGAATACAAAATTTTATATATTTTAAAAAATACAAGAATAATGTAAAGATTTTACATTATAATGGAATAATTATAAATATGTACATTCAAAAATTTAAGAATCAGGAAAAATTCAGTTCATGACTGATAACATAAAATATAGAGTTTAAAAAATATGTAAAAAGATAAGTTTTTTAAAATTATTACAACGAATTAAATTACTTCATTTAATTATAGATTTACGTATGAAAATACGTATGCGAGTGACAGAAATTAATAAAAAGTATTTAAGTGAAATATTTTATTTTGAGAACGAAAAAAAGTGCGCCTAATTATTCAGCTTAAAGTCGATGAATTAAAATTTCGTGCACCAAATAGTTGATAATTGAATCAATTCAAATTTTTAAAACTAGTGTTTTCAACTCACCATATTGATATTTTATAAAATATCATACCATACCAGACCTATCATACCTACTACATATCATGTACATATGTATGTAAGTAGTAATTTAATGAATTTTCATTACTTCTTTCTCTAAAGATGTTGAGTAGCTTAGGGATGTATACCAAGGTGCTCCTTTATTCTGTTTTTGGTTACAATAGCACAAAAACATTTATTTCCAAAACTTTATCATATTGCTCGAACATTTTTTTAATCATTTTCAACGTTTTAAAAAATATTGTTTATTGATGATAAAAAAAATACCCTTGTATACTAAAGGCAATATTTTGGAGAGATAATAAAATATTGAATTGTTTATTCACATATCCTTATGTAACGAAAGCAATATTTTATAAAGAGAATTATCTAAAATCGAATTGTTTATTAATTTGTAGGGGTAAGGTAAAAATTTTTGAGGTTAGAAAGCTACAAAACCTAAAAAACTAAGATTATATTTTTATAGGAAGTACAACGTGACATGTACATTTTACATATAGAATGTGTTTAAAAATGATTAATTGAAAGAATTTTATGTAAAATATTTACCATTCTTTTGCTTATACCAGAAGGTGCGTTTCTGAAACCCTTTATGGCTTGAAATATGCCTCCCCCAATACATCCCATAGCAAAAGCACCGCCGCAATCGTCGACAATTCGATAAGGACATGGCTCTCTGGCATACTCTTCCATTGTGATATATATGTCTGTAACATTTTGTATATATTTTCATTAGTAAAACTTTAGCATAACACAAATGTAATACTGAATCTATTTCACATGATCGACTTTTTTAGAACGTTACTTACGTAATACGGTTTGTTAAACGTGTTCAGATCGTTATTTCTTATAAGTCCTAAATGGAATTTACTTTTAAAATTTTTCTATATTTTTTGTAGCAAATAACTTTTAAGAACTTTTATTCCAATCATAAGGAACACGTAAAAATCATATTATTGAACGTTTTTAGAATTGTCATTTGCAATGAACTACTTTAACTGCAAACGATTACTCGTTACTGTGTCAAAATTTATACGGCGTAAAATTTTTGATAATGTCGTTATAGAATACCTTAAAAGAATGGAAATGTACGAAAAAATTGATTAAAATATTATCAGAAAGCATAACTTACATTATATACATTTCGTATTAAACAAAGTATTGAAAGTATTACATATAGAATCGATAACCTATATCTAATATAAATTCATGTAAATATAATATATAATAAATTCATGTAATATATGATATAAATTTTCTAAATATTTACATTTAAATAAATATCTCAAAATTATTAGTGGTGAAATTTTTAAAACAAATATTTTTAAAGTGCCGTTTAATATAAAAGATTATTTTACATGCATTTATGTTTAAATATGTTATATTTAAAAAGACATAGTGAGAAATTTTGTCTAGCCTGTATATTTGGATAGTAAAAATTTTATAGTTGCAGACAGTTTCAAAATAATTTAATTCAACCACCTGTACACTTATGTTAGTTGAACATAAGCACTTAACGCCAACTATGAACCCAACGCATTGTTACTTTCTGTCACTTTGCACGCCGTTCAACAGCAAACTAAACTGAATACCTCTCTTGACATTTATATTTTAAGATTGTCAGATCTCTTAAATCTATCGTTTCCTATGGCAGCTACCTCACTGTAACTGTCAGTCAAATTTGCTTTCTCTGAAAGCAAAACACACTTTGCATTTAAACCATCATGTTTATACCATAAATCAATGAACGCTGATGCTTACGTCGACTGCTTGGCATTTTTTCAACGAATATCATTACACAATTTTTTAATATTTTGCAATTTCCCTTTATAACGTTTTCTAGCAATATTATCTTATCTTGACGTTGTATTAGCTTGCTAATGTCATTCTTTAGTTTGCTGGTGTTATTGGTTTATTCGCTGTACTGCCGTTTTTGGTAATGTTTTTATGTCGGCAACGCGTGTTGTATTATTTGCAGAAACTTCAACAATTGTCCAACAATTGTCTTTGACTGTTGATAGAAGTATCATAGATAAAATTGTTCGATTAATTATTTCGACTTGTTCATTTACATGTAGCATACGTCCTATAGTCAATATATGTCTAATCTCGATTTTACTGCAAATTTGTTATGTGAATGCTGTTCCTCGATAACTTACCATTTTCGAAAAATAATCACTCAATCATTATAAAATGTTTTTGAAACAATCTTAGTCACCGTGCTTGGTACTGTTATATTATTAAATATTTAGTAACTGCATCAATTACTACATTTTATATTCTTATTTGTATTTAGTAATATATATAAGACATTAGGTTTAACAATGCATATATATGTGTATGTGTATTTGGATCTTAGCTGGTGTTGCACATGCTCTTACGAATACGAGTAACAGAAAACTAGCATGCCACAAAAACATATGAACTTAACGTATGATTTCTTCAATTTATCTTCTCAGATAGAGCCATGAATATTTGTGTCATGCCCAAAATTGAGTTATAAAACGTTTTTGATATGCTAGGCTTATCAAATGTCTGCTTAAATTAGGCTTGGAGGTCAAGCTGAGCAGGTTGCGCCTAAGTTGAAGTAGCCGACTGGTACGTTTTTTTCCAATTTCTACTAGGTCGATCTACAGATCTGATAGGTGTATTTATCTGTTCAAGTTTGTTTAGTTATACTCATGTATATGTATATGTCTGATTGTCAGCTTGCTCGTTGCATTAGGATATCAGTGTCTATGAAATTAATGTTAGGGAGGAGACTGTCTGTCTTGTAAGCTTGTTTGTCTTGCAGTTGGACAAAATGTCCATCTGTCCAGGTACCCATGAAAGTTGAAAAGCGGCACGCCTAGCTAGCTCATAACAGGAGATCGGCGTTCTCGAATTGTTGTAACTGTACCACTTGCTAGAGATTTGATATCAGCTTGACTTCCTAGAAAGATTACGATATTTATATCGCTGCAACTCGTCTGCGTAGTAAATTACTTCTACTTTGATGTAATTCTATTTAAAAGTAATTCTGCCAACACTGTAAAGGCAATGACCACTGCTGATTTTTCATTTATTTTGGAAGTCAGATCGAGGTCTGATTTGGAAGAAATGTAGTGAAATGAGGTAAATCCTGATTGAGTATGATAGTGTTCCCTATATATATTCCGGATCAGCCAGAGGTAGCATTGAGTCTGCAGCTAGTAAGGAGCACATGTAGTTTTACGGAGTCTTTTAGCCAAGTTAGCCTTCCAGCTGAGTTTAGAGATAAGTATGAGATCCAAATATTTGATATTTGTGCTTAACCTAAATGATTTGCTTTTTACCTTGAGAAAAGAAAACGAGGGAATTTTATACCCTCTAGTGAAAAATATAGCCCTCGTTTTTGTTGAGTTAAGTCCAAGACTGTAATTCACTACGGCATGTCATTGTGACAAACGCAAAGTTATTAATATTACACAAGACCTGAGTAAATTTACCCTATGCAGCGATAGCAATAGGGTAAGCTATAACGCTACATCTAGGTTATTCGAAAGGTCTGAGCCGTGCATTCACCGCTATATTCTATAAAAGTACCTCTGGTCTAAGCATGTTCAATATCAGCAGGTATAACCCCATCTGGAGCTGCGGATTCATATGGCTTAAAGGTTTCTATAATTTGAGCGTTGGTCACAGAAAAAAAAGAAGGGTCATCCAGAGAAAATGAGCCGACTTGCATGGGTATATAATGCAAACAGCCCTTACTAGTTGTAAAGTGAGTGTCTTGAAGGATTTAGAGTGTTTTCATATCGGTTAGACTAATCGGTACAATACCATTCCATTATAAGTTTCGCCTACCAGTTCGGAAGACAAAATATCATTGTCTCTGTATTTTGAGGAGATGATGCTGAATTTGTAGCTTATTCGATTATCAGAAGCATGTTCATGAATTAAAAATTCATTTAGAACTACGAGACCCTCACAAAAGTCTTTCTTGAGTTGGCAGGTCAGTGTTGCTTTAAGGACGACAATAATTTGCGATAACAGGTAGCCAAGTTTTGGAGCGAGAAAGTTATACAATTTTATCCACTGATTAGTCGAACTTTTATTATTTTTGAGCAGAGGCAATACCGGTTGATTAATTGTCGGTGGGTCAGAGATTCTCGTTCTCTTTGATATACTAAAGTGCAGTCATATCTATCTCCGATCGAGGCAAGTGCACCCTAAGGTGTGGATTTGGTTTGTATTTGTTTGACTGGATTTCAACAAGCCTCCGGAGGAATGAGTGTTAGTTTTTTGCAATTTGGTTCTACTCAAAGTATAAGCATAAGTATAGTTATTGTAAATAAGTCCCATGGTTATCTAAATATAGAGAAGTCATGCACTCATACTTTATGGGAACAACTCTGATCTTCCTGAATGGTGAATTATCTGAAATACCCACTTATAACGAACATTCCTTCCGTATGGCCAGAAAATAACAAAATAATCAATGTTTTATTTATTTAACATATTTTCATTTTATTACATACATATATGTTCTTGATAATGTATCAGATTAATTTCACGGTATCACTGCTTTTTACGTCCGCATGCGTACTTCATATAATTGTCCAAAAAGCATTAAAAGATCAAATTAAAGTATTGCTTAAGTACAGTTGTCAGGCCAACGATAGCAAATTCATATATAAATATTAGCTGCGTTTCAGCAAACAATGATCTGGATCATCTTTGCTGAAACAATACGGATCACGTATAAAAGTAATTGGCAACGTATGAATTATGCCAGTTGGGTTTGTGTACAAAATTTTTTGATTTATGTGAATAATTTTGGCGCTAAAAAAATGAGTAAGAAAAGTCTAAAAAAAAAACAAAAAATCAAAAAATAAAAAAAAAATAAAATCTGTTGCAATGTCTGAAGTATTAAATATAAGTTTTTATTTAGTATTTACTTTAAAACTTAAATTTAATTAGATAGTAAATAAATGAAAATTGTAGATTTTATTAGAATCGTTGAGCGAAACTGACTCTTCCATTCCCATTTTAAATACTAGTTCAAGTGTATTAAGCTCAAGGAATGAAGTGCATCAGCATGGATATAGTGGAAATTTTGTGGAAACAATCAATTATTTTCCTTTAATAATTATTTGATTGATATTTGCGCATAAAAAATACAATTGCTATATATTAATTATATTTCATATTATAATAGATTTGTTAATAAATTCCAGTCATCAAATACAAAATAACCGTGGTGGTCACAATTGGTCGAGAGCAATGAAGAAAATTTATATATTTTTGTGATATATGGCACATATGAATAATTTTCGCGAATTTGGTATTTGTTTTGGCATACCAAAAGCTTTTATATGGAGAATAATTGAAAGGATTAGTGTTTAACTTATATCAATTGGAATCTAATTTATAAAATACGCACTTGATAATAATGCAAAAGTGGAACCGTCGAAAAAATTCCCGTTCGTAATTGGTTGCATAGACAGCACACGTAAAAATAAATGCACCACACCATAGCAAATAGGCTTATTTCAAAAGGAAGCATGACTATAGCTTAATCTTGCAGGCAGTTTGCGATGAAAATGGTTTTTTTATAAACGTGTATGTTGGAGAGCCTGGTTGCCTATGTATTGTTCTGTTTTAATTAAATAAATGTATTCAATTTAATTTTTATATATTCATTTCAAATTAATTGATTTTAATAAATTATCAAACAACACTTTTTCAATAATAATAAAACGTAAATAATTAAAGTAATTAAAGATTATAACATTTTTTTTAAACAAAAAAATAAATAATAATGACATATTAAATGAATAAGTACATAAAATAAATAATAAATAAATAAAATCAATAATAAATAAATATAAATGAAGATTTGTTTATAATTTTACTTCACCGTTGCATCACATTGCCAACCTCATTTGCATTGAAATACGTTCCACTTTTATTTTTTACATACATTCCACATTGAACCAGATCAATTGCTGGTTCACCCCATTGTTTTGTTTTGCATGCAAAATTGAGCGGATCATGTTTGCTGAAACGCAACTATTAATGCTCTTTAGGACAAGAATAACAATAATTTCCTCTATATTCTTATTTCGTTAAGACAAAAAGTAGCCACGAACCCACATATGTATATACATACATATGAATATATTTTTGCAAGTAAATATATGAAGAAATGACATAAAACATAAACACGAAGTATCAACTTGGTGTGTTTAATTTGCATATAAATTCTTATTTGGTTGTTAAAATTTCTTAGATAAACCTATCCTGCTAGGTATTAAGCCTCTTGCTTTAATCTCTCTCCATTTATTACTGGAATGAAGTTTCCACAATGCTGTGGAAATTTTCTCCATTCACCGCTAAGATGTGGTTTTAGTGGGTTCAACTCTCTCAATCCTTACATTTTAAGTTTCAATCTCTCGATGGAACTTATAAAAATTTGCTCTATTGCTACAAGAAAGAGTATAAGAGATTTTTTCTATTAAATCTATTAGAGCGCATCCTGTCGCTCTATTGATGGCCATTGATTTCACTAAAAAATAAATTCGGTACAACAACTCCAAATATAGCAACAAGCCGTTACATCATTTAAGAGCACATAATCTTATATGGCGTTTACATTGGCCGAAAATGGCTCATTTTGAATGAACCATTTGAAAGTGTTTACATTCGTTGTAATTCGTTTGTTTCATTTCAAACAGCTGATTTTTCAACTTGCTTGTTGATTTGATTTTGGCCTGTGCCAAAAAAATATTGCATGAAGATTAAATATGCTTTCAAACCTTACAATATAAACTTAAAACATATTTTTAACTGCGATTAATTACCTTTTGGGAAGTAGAAGTTCTAAAAAGAGGTGCATCGTTTTCAAGAAAATGCAACCACCAAACATTTGTTTACCTTTTTTTGTAAATATGTCAAAAACAGCTTTCTCAAACTGTGAAAATGCCATGAAAAGCTTTTATTTAGGGTATGTTCAATGGATTCCCTTGCATTTGGAACATATGTGGAATGCATTCGAACGTCTTTCATACAGAATGTGAGAAAATTGCTCATTTTCGCACTTGAAATTTTATATGCAAGAATGAGCCATTCGCTACTCATTTTCGATTTTTGACCAAAATGAGCCATTTTCGGCCAATGTAAACGCCATATAAACGCCATATTATTCTTCATGACCATATTTCACCTCAAAGATTGGTAAGCAGTAAGCAACACTTGTTCAAAGATCCAAGTACCAGATCCATATATTGGCTGCACGCTAATTCTCTTAAAGCGACGCTGATTGTCCCACATCAGGTGATACGATCGTATATAAACGATAATACACAGCTCCTAATTCATTATTGAAATCTTTGTTTACTGGACGCTTTTGCCATGGCTGATGTTACTACACTAAAATTAATTAATTTAAAGTTCCAAATTATTCATTGAGTAAAAATAACATATGACATATACAGCAACTATGAAACATGGCTTAAAACTCAAAAATTTGCAGGAGTTAACAAATCAAAAATCTTGAATATCGTATTTTGTACATGAGGTTTAGAGATGTGTGGTGCTGTATCTATTTCGAATATGACAAAATTTATTGACTATGTTACAATTAACTTTATTAGCTCAAAGATCCTATAGTTGCACAAGAAATTGTTAAATCAGGGACCATAACAGTTATCATTAAAAAAATTAAAATCACTTTATACTAGTAACTGTTATTATTCACATTTTAAAATAAAACTCAAAAAATAAGAATTAAATTTACTTTATATTATACTAGTAGATGACCCGGCGAACTCTGTTCCGCCTTAAAGGCAATAAATAAGCAGTTTTTTTTTAATTGGAAAAAATACAAAAAAAAAAAATACCTACATTAATCATTCATAATTTATTTGTGTATTTTAGTACACATCGCAAATTATCTATTTGTTGACCTCTGTTGTTCGCTCGACCTTCAGTCCTTAAATTTGCAGTATTTCGTATTCTTCTTGCATTACGGCTTTGTCGGGAAAGATTCGATCGTCTTGGTCGTGGCATTATTAAAAAACTAAAAACTCAAATTTTCAACCATACCATACATTGTAATTGTTAATTATTTATTTTGTTGAGTTTGCAACAACCAGGTAGTTTTATTGATTAAAAACGATATTTATTGCAACACAAACTTATATTGATCTAATACAACTTTTAAAAACACATTAACTAAGTTATATTTCTATCTGTTAAATTTTAATAAAATATTTTCTTATATCAAAAATTTGATAATTTCAAAACCTACTTTGTCGTGAACGGGATAAACAGGTATCCTATGTCCTTCTCCTGGCCTTAAACTACCTCCCTGCCAATTTTCAGCTAAATCGGTTCAGCCTATATCCTTCTCCTGGCCTTAAACTACCTCCCTGCCAATTTTCAGCTAAATCGGTTCAGCCGTTCTTGAGTTATAAGTGGTGTAACAAAAACACATCTTTCTTTTATATATATAGAAGATTCATCAAAAATAATTATTATTATGTGCCTTTTATTTTTTCACGCACAAATAACTCTTATACTCTGCTTTTTATTTTAAAACGCAAAAATAACTGTTGTTTTTGCGTTAAAAACATGAAAATCAAGAATATCTTTTATTTTTGAAAAAAAATAAAATAAAAAATATTTTATTTTAAAATAATTTAAAAACGAAAATATAAAATGTATTTTTCATGTAAGTTAGTTGTTTTTGTAGTTTCATACAAAATGTATTTAAGGGTTGGTGACGTAAAAAGTTACTTTTGGTTTTTATATTGTTTTCTGTACAGAAACAAAAAACTGAACTAAATCTTTATCTGCACCAACTCTTTAATACATTTTGTATAAAATTACAAAAAGAACTGTCTTACATGGAAAATGCATTTTATAATGTCATTTTTAAAAATATCCAGCATGCCGTATGACTTTGTTTTCAAAAATAAAAATTATTCTTGATTTTCATATTTTTAATGCAAAAATAACAGTTATTTTTGCGTTTTAAAATAAAAAGTAGAGTGTAAGAGTAATTTGTGCGTGAAAAAAAGGCACACGATAATAATTATTTTTGATAAATATAATATAAAGCAAATTTAATTATTATTTTTTAAGTTTTATTTTAAAACGGTCATACATAAAAAGAATGCATAATATTAAGGATAAAAGTTGTTAGAATTATAACTATATACTTAAATATGAGTTTAGACACTATGAGTTTTGTTCCTGCTTTTTTTTTTTAAAATTTTTGAAATAACTGTTATTTTCTGTCCCTCTCTAAAATTCAACAAAAAATCTTTTCCATTGATAAGACCTAAAATATGTTCAAAGTTTAATTTTAGTATTTAAGTTAAATTTGCTGTTGAAAACTTTAATTTAAATTATAATATATATATTAAAAAAAGTACTTTTCGAAATCCGTATAATTATATGAGGTTATTTTTTTTTACATTACAATTCACGTATGAAAAAATTATAGAATTGGTCCTCAATGTTATGAATTCTCTTTTCCCACACAATGCGTTAAAAAAATTTTTTTCGTAGCTTTAGATAAATGCTATACATAGCATTTAAAAAAAATAACACATATTTTCATTTACAAATGATATTTTAATTAAAAATAATATACAATGTGTAAGACATGTATGATGGTAATAACATTCTAACTGTTACAGTGCAAGTTCAAGGTTTCACATTAGCAAATCCTTGATGTATAATTTTGTATGTTTTTAATTGCTTAATATATTAATAAATTGTTACGAGTAAGTAAAAATATGTAATTATAATAAAGTGATAAGGTTTAATTTTAAACCACATTTTCAAAACGACTTTAAAAACATAATATAATTGTCTCATATATTACGGTAATATCCGTTACATTTCAATTAGTAGTCAGTTCCAAGATTTCACTTGGTTTTTAAATAATCGGTGCCTTAAAATACATATTTTTTTGTTCAAACATATTTAACCATTTTTACCATTTGTATTTATTTCATTGATCGAATACGTAAATCGCTTTTATTGTGGTCGTCATTATTGGAATCTCGGTCCCGATTTTGTTTAGATTGAGTACGTTCCTCTCTTCGATTAGAATCAACTTTTAGTGAATATCGGTTGGAAAGTGTTGTATTTTCTCTATCTGTATCAATATCTCTTTCTTTATATGGATAATCAGCGTTACTAGGAAATCTATTACCATCATAACGACGATGTTCATTATAATTATTGTGGTAGTTATTTCCTTTATGTAAATTATTTCGGTCACGGAATGAAGATCCAGAGTTATTATTTGAATACTTTGACGGTCCTGTACGCATTTCGCGATCTTCATTTTGACGTGTAAAAAGACGACTGTTAGGAGAATGATTTTGAGAAAGATTATTGTGTTCATGGTGAAGAGGCTTTTTAATTGTCGATTCTTCAACTTGCTTTTTTTCATAATGATAAAAGTCGTCAAAAATGGATGTTTTATGTTGATATGAATGTAAAATCTGTAAAACTTCTATTCCCTTAGCGTTTGGAACTTCTTGCGTATCTCGAGAATTAGTTACTGATTTATTTTCATTGTTTTCAAGAAGAATGTGACGAAGTTTATTATTGGGAACATCTTTAACATATATCCATTTAACTTTAAATTTTCCTTTCCACTTATCTTGTGACCATACGCTGGACGTAGAATTATAATCAACGGGAGTCATCATTTGAGCCATTCCACAAAAATGACCTGATCCATTTACAGAGAAAAAAAGCAGAATATTCCCATTTTCTTTTTGACGTTCTTTAAAAGCATCGTCCAGCCGCTTGTTCCCGTGATCAGTTGAGCACCATATTTCGTATTTTATGCTTCGATGAATATCATCTTCTGAATATGACTTTATAACAAAAAATCTGAAAAAGAAAACAATTAAGAAATAATCATATTTTGTACAATGAAAATAACTTATTCTACATTATTATTTAATTTTCTTTACATACTAGAAGTAATTGTAATATAAAGTAACCTTACGAGCATCAGTAACAGTTAATTGTTGCATAAAAAACGGAATAAAGTTACACATTGAACTTCATGTTTGTTAAGTAAGAGGTAGTTATTGACTTTGAGATTACGAGAGCATGTATTTTGAGTTTATTTGATTTTGTTAATACAAAAATTAATTCAGAAGTCGAGATATTCCAAGAGCGATGAGTTTTCCGGTCGAACCACTATCAGCTCAGACAATTAATGTCGTTTGCCCTTCTGAACATAAACATGGATGCGGAGCCAAAACCGAAACTGAACCAATATATTTTTTGTTTTGAACCGCAACGAAAACCGGAACGGAAAAAATTCCGGTTCAAAGCCCTGATTTATACCTCAATTCATTCTCACTTCTAAATAATTCCCTCCTCTTTCGTAGAGGAGGGGATGTAAGACACTTAAGTTTGTTATAACAACATGCATACCCTAGCTTCTATTATTTATTTATTTAATTCTAGATCTCTGTAGATCTAACGATTAACAACTGTTAGAAATAGTTCTGATTTTTAATAAATTTGAAAATGTTTACATACATTAATTTCCGATTTGAATAATATTTCGTTTTTTCAACAAAATTTGTCACGATATGTTTAAAATGCTACATAGTAATGCAAGTATTTATCGTTATCGTAATGCATGTATTTATCTTGTTGTAGTAACCCGCTAAGATCTGCTAAGATCCCTTTGGGAGTGGTTCCGAGACGTACACCCAGCCGTTCTTGGAGTCATTTATCCTCTAATTTTTTTCATGTTATCTGTTTTACAGATCCCTGTTGTGACAACAGCAATTACAACAACAACAACAACAACAGTAATGTTTATAAAACAATTAGACTGCTAAACTAAACTCTAATTTGTCTTAAAACGAAAATGTATATCTATATAACTAAATTAGAGCAATATTGAACTAAGACGAAACTTTGTTAAGACATATTCAACAGCTGAGAACCGTACTAGAAGTAAACTGAAAGGATGCTTAAGATTCTAAATCAGCTTATCTGTCCGATTTGATAAATATCATTATTTGAAATATAAGACAAGTCACAGTTTCCCGAATAGCAGCAATTTTCACCTGAAAACAATGCATTGATTGGGAGCTTGATATACAAAAATGATCAGTTACAATCTCAGGACTTAGTCACAGCTGTTGGAGTAATTTGCACAACAATAATGGAAACAAGACAGTTGGTGTATTGATTACACTGGCTTTTATAAAAAAAAGGCTTCTAATTGAAAAATAGCTTGGAAACCAATGGTGGTGAACACTGTGGTTGTCTATATTCAATAGTAAAGTAATATTTGGAAAAATAGCTAACATCTTAAAGATATGATATGGCTTAACAACGCGATTTTGTATGAAAATTTGGTTAAGTGATCAGTTGTTGGAAATAAGTGACACGTTTGCACAGAGTTAACCTGACAGAGCGATAATTATCGAGTGCCGTTTAAGCATTTTTTTCATCAGTGTGTAATAGAAGATAAAACCAAAATCCAGAGGTACACAACGGGATTAAAACGGCAGTTATCAGAATGGGATAAACCTGATGTAAATTTTTACTTTTTCTCCCATTTCAATATAGAAAGTTCAGACAAAAAAATTAACATTAGACAAAAAAAAACGATTTTTTTGAGTTTAAAAATAGAAATAGTCTTCTATGAAGAAATGCATAAATATCTTAGAGAAGCGTTGGAATGAAGTTATTGTAATTTCGGTCAAATCAAAGCTGACTTTACTGACGTTACACGTTTTATATTATTTTCAGTATAGTAAAATAAAAATAAAATATCAAGTTATTGTAAAATAAATTATTCCATTTTATCGTTATCATTTTAAGTTTTTAACTCCCTTATAAAATGAGATCAGTTTGATTAGTAGTTTTTTTTTAACACTTGAATTAAAATCCTACAAGTTATATTATGTTAGTATTATCTGTTATGTTAGTATTAATCAGTATTATACATATATTAAACATATATGGTAATTATTATAATATAAAAGGTAAGTATGACACCTTTTTTATTTATGCGAACTATTGAAATTTCGCAATATTACGAGAAATGATTTTTTCAATAAAATTTTATTATGTTTAGTTAAATAAAGGATTGTTTATAATTCTAACTAAAGTTATTAGAACAATTCAGGATTGTTCTTCTGTACTTACCTAGCAAGAGAAGCTTTTTCTAAATCAATGTTTGATGGATTATAATTATTTTTGTCACGAAGTTCGTCAAGAACTGCTTGACCGGAATCTAAGCTATTTTCCTTAACATAAGGCGCTTGTTGGGTAACTCGTGTATTGTTTTCTTTTCGTAAATCAATCGATGTATTATTTGCCCCACCATAAGCTTTTCGCTCTGTTAATCTATTAGAATTTCCACTTCCATTACTGTCATTACGCATCTTATTAAAGGATCCACCTTGTCTACTTTCTGTGCTAGTCTGTGACGACCAATTTTTGCGCATCTGTACGTTAGGGGAATTTTTATTTTTTATGAAATTACAATTGTCATATCCTGAATCTTTGTCATTTTTAATAAAATCTGTTCCCTTTAAGCTTTTAGCCGCACAAGTTCCAATATTCGACTCAGAACAAATAATAGTTGATTTTATATTTTGTTCAGTGTAAGTTAATATTGGCGGAGGGGGTGATGGAACTGGTAGCGGATTGTTGTTTGGAACCTCCCAGGAGTTAACATCTAAGTTATGCTTTCCTGGGACCATTGGTGGCGGAGGCATACCCGGCCCTTTCTTTTTATGAATTGAAGTAGTTAGCGTAGTCCTTGAAATCAATTTTGCCGGCTGTGATGCAATTGAGGCCCATGTTGTCTTTTTCGGTGCTGCTATAGTCGAACTACTTGTTTTTTTTTCTTCTACTGAAGAAACAAAACTAGATCTGCTTTCTAATCTTGCAGTTGAAAAATCAGTACTTGCTCTATTAGACTTATATAAAAAACATTAATTTTTGAATATTTGTTTAATGGTAAATATTTACTTACATGATTACTATTTCCTGACATATCAGAAATGATTTTTCTTGAATTACCCCAGGTATTAGGCGGGTTGTCATCACGTTTCAAATTATTATAAAATGAAGGTTTGTTGTATTTTTTATTTATTTCTGTTAAAAAAACAACCCTATTATTATAAACATATTTTAAAAGCATATTTTTTATAAATAAAACTACCAAATGCAAAATATAAGGTAGAATACGAAAGATTCAGTCCTAGTAATCGATAACTCATATAACGTTAAGATCAATAGTTATTATGTATATATAGTATAATATGGATGTAAAATAAAGTTTGAAATATATAAAAATATGTTTAGAATTATAATTTCGAAAATATTGTTTGCAATATGTAAACTCTATTTGTTATACAAGAGATAATTGGTACAATATATATTGCTATTATCATTTTTATTGTCAGATGTCTGCACACTTTTTTTGCAGAAATCCTTGCATGGTTTATAGGAGCAATTGAAATGACTTTTTGTTAAAAGAACGTTACAATATTTGTACTTGATTGTTTCTTCTTTTGATGGCACTAATGTGCCATGAGAGACATGATGACAATGTCATTATGGTTTTCTTTAGTGCAAATACGCTAAAGGAAAGCTGCCACCCTTTGCTTGACCTTTGGTGTTTTGTAATGAATACATGTTGCTTTTACCGGAACAACTTTTTTAGAAATTGGAACAAGATTGAGTTGGTAGCCAATGGTAGCTTTCTTACCTAATTAATCACCTTATGATGTAATTGCATCTTTTACATCCCTGTGTACTATCATTTCCTGTGAAAGGTACTTATAAAATGAAGTTTTTAACAGGAAAACCAAAAATAAATGGATGGTTTTATCCGCTCTTTTACAAAAATTATCATCTCTTTTAATCATACAACAATTTGAACCGATTAAACTGATAAGTTAAAATTTTATAATCCTATTGTTTAGTGAGTATAAGTTTATTTAATTTGAATATTTTATTTGAACTTATAAAGTATTTTGTGACACCACTACTTAACAAGGGATATTAACTCTTACTAATTATGTAACCATTAAAAAGTCATAATGAAGCACATGATGTTTTTTATCTTTGCGCTGAACACTTGTGAAAGAGTACTAAAGACAAAGTTGCATAAGAAGTTCATTCTGCTCCTAACAAAAGCTGGACAGCTTCAAAAGAAGTATTCCACTATTTCTACTTTGCTATATAGAAGTCATTTCAATGAGTTTTAAAATATTCATAAAAAACTAATAGCATGTCTACCAAACACCCAGTGACCGATTATATAAGTACTATACGACAGTTTCTCTAAATATAGGCAGCTGATGTTTGAATATGAATGTATATGAAAGTGGGGCCAATACAAAAGAATGATATTAAAATTAATTTAAAAGTTAACTGAAAAAATTTAATAAGTAAATAGTGAATATCTAATTTGCTACATAACTATCTCCATTAGGAGTATAAAATCTTATACGAAGTTCATTTAGAATACAACTTTACTAATATTAAGGTAAAATACTAGTTGAGGTGTAATAAACAACAATACAAATTCGATTGCATTGACAAATGAAGGAGTTCTCCAGAAAAAAACTTATTTTAAATCTCCAGATACTACACAATTATAGCTACATTTTCAAACAGATATAAGTCGTTCTGTACTTATATATCGTTCACTATGTAAATCATCTCGGCAATCTTAATAAACTCTGAAAAGGCTATATTAGTAGTTTACTTCAATCTGTACTTAACTCGTCATCGGTAAGCTTAATATTAATTGCTCTACCATATTTTCAATAAAAAGTTGTGATTTGCCCTAGATAGGTTTTAAACGCTTAATTTTAAATATCGTCTAAAATACTATCCCCTTCATTCTGCAAAAGTTTATAAGTAAAAACTTTACCAATGCAAAATTATGAAAGTTTAACTATCATAAATCTTGAGTATACAGAAAATATAACTTCAATTTTAAATATTTATTATCAAAAAAGATAAATTCTCATCTAACAGCAAAGTGTACATAAAAATTGATTTTTATTATGGAATATAGAATGCACCCACTACTACATCCATTACCTTAAGCATAGGTGCGGTTATCTTATAACCTTTTTTAAAGTTTATTATTGTTTCATAATCAATGATGGTATTTGGTAAAGTAGGAAAATGAACTCCAAGTTTTAAAAGGTAGGATATGTAGATATCATGTAGTTGCAAAAAAAACGATCTCTTATGAAAGAGATTGAAAAAAATTCATAAAACTAAAAAATAAACACATACCAGAGTTATTAGATTTTCGCGATTTGAAATTATTCCAAGAAGCGTTTTGATTTTCTTTAACATTAAAAGGAGGATATTGAAACTGTGTTAAGTTGTTATTAGAGACTGAAAATATATGCAAAGGAAAGATATGTATTTGTTTATTTTAATTTAAAACACATGAAAACATACCAATATTATCGTTTGATGGAAAAGCTAAATTTTCATAAGATGCCTCGTCAACTTGCTGACTCCACGGTACATTTCGTTCCTCATTATTTTTTGCTATAAGACAGCATATTGAGTTAATATAGGTAAACAAAACCTTGCATTTTGTTAAAATTTACGGCTTTAATCAAAATTATGGGAATCTATATATTACCTGAATTTCCGGCAATTTTAATCTAAATAAACATTGAAAGCGAATTAAAATTATTATTAATGTCAACGCCATTGTTTTACGTTGCCTACCTGATCTGACACGCCTCCAGATGACATTTGCTGTTAATAAAAATATTTAATGCTGCTTAACTATACAATTTGATAAATTTAAAACCTATTAAAAAAACTTGAAAAATGATTTAATCACTAATGCAGTAAAACACAAAATTCTTAATTTCTGTTAAGCTGGTAGATGTAAAACCAATGAATGATATATTACAAACACACTAAAGAAATTTGTTTAATAAATTAGGTCTGTTTAATATTGCTTTTCCTATGTTTAACAAAGGCATTTATAATTTTGCATGTACATACATTATAATCTTGAAGCAATATATTTAATAAAACCTGCTTACACCTACAAAATTGCTTTCAAGCATACTGCTTGAACACGTAGGCAATTGGTGAGCATAATTTTGCCAATACAAAATTAAAGTATTGCATTTAATACGAGCAGAGCAAAAGTGACTTTAAGGAGTTACAGTATAAGCAAAAAATGAAGTTCAACGTTTATTGCTTTTATATTTGCTTTATTGAAAATTTACAATAAACTTAAAAGTATTATATATATTACATTGTTTGGGCCAAATACATATATTCTGACAAATATTTTTATAACACTTTATATCCATTCGATTTGTTTTGTTCAAGAAGGGGCATTGTGCACTTATATATGTTACCATAAATTATGAAACTATAACAATTCTATATTACAACTTTCAATATATTCGTATAGGGATTCTTGAAACAATTTTTTTGATGTGTTTTAAATTTATTTCATTTTTAGTTTTAATACCATTTTAAATATAAAATACCGACTAAAAGCTTAGCTGTGATATAACTTTATATTAATGTGTAAAGAGATAAATTAGAAACCTACAGGATATTGTTTCACAAATTTTTAATGACTTGCAATCGCCAGCATGAAAGTTAAAGCTTTCACTTTTGGTGGGTTCAAATTCTAACATCTTAAGGACAAAAAAGAAAAGCACAGCTCCTAAATTTTCTAAATTTATTAGATTAGATCAATAGTGTAATCCATTAATCAAATTGGATACCATTTTTCTATTGCTATATACAGATTGTCAACTAAAAAGTGCCTCACGATAGGTCCAGTGTCTGCCCTCTCTGGCTGCCTTTCTGTGATTGAGGAGCTTGATAAACATCTTACACGGCCAACAGTGGGTTGTGTCTTAAATAAAATAATATTATATACCATATGGATAAAGTATTGCAACAGCCATACAAAACATGCCATAAACGTGCAACAGTTAACCAAAGCAAGTTCAATAAACCAAAAGCTTAAATAATAAACTTAAAAAGATTAAATCAACCAATAAATTGACTAAAATTCTTATAAAGATAAAATAACTATACAATGTTTTTTCTTTTACAATATATTTGCTAACTCATTTAATTGAACTAAGGGGCGAATTTGTTGAAATTAGTATGACTTTCGACTTTGCAGAAAGTTTTGTTCTTCCCTAAAAGAACCATGTCTTTTTACTGTGGCTGCGAAAACTGTGGTTCTGTTTCTATGGAAGATCCACTTGAATATTCAGCTTTCATTTAAATTAATTCATTTCAATGAACTACCTATTGAAGATTAGACGCAGCAAAATGTGATGACGGCTAGGACACTAATTATGGGTGCATCGCAATGGGCAATTGATATCTTAGAGTGAAAGTGTAGATAGGTATTTCAGACAGCACATGCCCTGTCAACCTAGACTCCAATTAGTGGTATATATACCAACTAGAACCGACGAAGTTAGAATGAATTTTGATCTTAAATCACAATATCCAAGTTTTGCTTTAATGTATTTATATAATGGACAGGTTACCCATTTGCATTATCATTATATGTATGTACCAAATGTACTTGTCCTTTACCAACTTGAAATCGTTTTAGAACTCCGCTGCAATTTGAATATATTTATTAAAAAGTCTACCATAAAACTCTCTATCTGTAGACTAGTTTTTATCTCTAATGAATTATTTGATGACACATTGAGTGGTTTCCAAACCAATCGAATGTAATTGGCTCAGAAATCATTAATTCCAATAACAAATCTCTTTAGTATTTGCTGAAAGACATTACGTCTTTCAATCGTGGTTAACGCCATTACGATAGTATGATTTTAGCATATTTATACGTTTAAATGGCGTTTGCCCTCTTAGAGATTCTTCTCAAAATTTCTGGCAGTGCTTAATGACATGCGGTAGTAGCTAACATAATAAATTTAAAAACAATAAATAATAAATTTCAGTGTTGGCTTGTTCGGGCTAGAATTGTCGGCGTTAAAACTGATAGTTACCGTTGATGACATGCCACAATCATGCTTTTTGGATCAATATAAGTGAATTTGAATCTGACCGTTTTAACAAAAAAAAAAAAAAAACCACTCCTATGAAATAGTGCCCTTATGAAATGTTAGGTTCCGCATTTAATGTGATTTTTTTGCGCATGCTCTATGCAAATAATCCTAATTGTGTTTTTAAGCGTTGTGTGATATCTCGTTTCAGTTTACACAAACGATACTGGTGGTACTTTTTATGTGATTAACTATCAACATTTATAAGAATTGAAGAATGATTAAATGCTATGCATATTTGTACGCATAATTTACAAATGTTGGACATTTCCAAGATATGGATAAGAATACAAAATGTTTTAGCCTGTACATTCTGATGAACCCCTTAAAACTTCAAGAGTAATTTATATGTGGCTCGATACAATGTATATGCGTAGTATCAATTCTTCAGCCGTTCTCTTCCACTATTCTCTTACCTGTTTTTTGAATACCATTTAAGGGAAATGTTGTTGAAAATTACATTGTTTTAAAACAGTCTTAAAATATATTTATTTGCACTTTATTAAAATAAATTTTTTATTAAATACATTAATTTATTCCTCTTCATTTTGATCCCAACCATCATCATTAGACAAGAAACGCTGTTTAGAAGCAGTATTCATATATGGGCGGAGAATCCATTCAGTATTTGCACCATTAAGCTTATCTAATGTTCCCAATTTAATTTGATACAGTTTGAGTTGAAAACGAGGACCCACTTCTTTTAACTCCAGTTCTTTGTTTATGTACTGAAAAGTATGATGCCGAAATGATATATAATCATCATGATTAGCAAACGTCACAACTCTTTGTGAATTACTTTTTGCAACAGGAAAGAGATGTTTTAAAATTTGGGCTGCGCGCTCTCCAAGTGTGGTTTTGAAGTTATGAAATACCAAATGAGGGTATTGTTCACTCATTTTACCAATATTAGGAATATCATGACGCATCACAACAGAAGATATATTGAAAAAAGCTGTTGGTCCAAATGGTAGATGACACACCACTAAATTATCAGGGACACCTCGATGCTCGTGAATAACAATAAAATCTGTAACGTCATTTGCTTGGCATGCATGTACAAGCTGTCTTAATTCGTACTTTCCGCGATTTAATCTTTGTGCATTAGGAAATATTAGCCGTAGTTCTTTTGCAAATACTTTTAATCTTGCTGATGGATTGTGGGAAGTAGTTATCATAATTTTCGGATTTTTACTACCTGCATATCGGTACTCATCATCAATAGTTTCAGTCACGTTTTGATCTATTGGGTTATACATACAAATTTAATATTAGATTTATTATATACATATAAAAGTTTATAAATAAGTTTACAATTTCAAACAAATATCAGTTAATTAATTCATCTGTTATATAAAATATATGTTATATATATATACATCATTATCTTATCTGTCCCTTCCTAATTTTCAACCGGCTATTTCCTATCTTAAACAGAACCGGTGCTTGGAAAATATCAATTGCTGAATAAGAGGAAGAAATAAAAAAGTAATGGGTAAATTAAAAATCACGAAAGGAAAATTTTGTAAAAATAATGGAAACAAATATTTAGGTCTTCTTTATATCAATAAATTTACATTTGAAATTTACTAGATGTTATCCATATGTACTGATACAATAAATCAAATCGGTTATAAAATTTACTGCATGTCACTATCGAACAACTAGGATGATAAAGAAATTAATATAAAAATGTTACGTCTTCAAAACGCAGATGTTAACACACAATTTGAATGTAGTCTTATTAGAAGAATATAAGTGGGCGACAGTAGTCCTTTTAAATATAAAAATACTAGTCATGATTTAGTAAGCTTTGGAAGTTGGGTTAGACTAGGTTATATCGGCGATTCCTGGTGAATCTATTTAGACCTATTGGCCCATTGTGTTACCGTATATGTAGGAGAAACTCGGGGTTTAAAACCACTTAGAACCTTTGGCGAAGTCTAAAATGCTATTTAGTGTCAGCTCAAGATCAAGATCCTTAAGAAAGGGAGCTCCCAAAGTGTTGAGTCGCCGCCGTGCATGAGCTGGGTAAGCTTCGGTAGTGACTGCATCAAAGTTGACAAAACTAATAATCATTTAAATGAAAACTTATGTTTATGTTCAGTAACAGAAATTTCAAACAATTTCAATAAATTCTAACGATTGCAGTGCAGCATATTAGTAGTTAGATGAAATTAAAACTTATTTTAATAAACTTTAAAACTTTTTGCTCAACAAATTGTATACATTATGTCGCGCACTCCGAGTTCTACCTCGATGCGTATCGTTAAAAAATAAATTGTCTGAAAAATAAGTAAATATGTGCACCGTATTTTTTTTTTAAATAAGAATATGTAAACAATTTTTTTTTATAAGCATTAAAATATAAAAAAAAATAAAAATAACTTTTTCGCTGAACGAGTGTGAAAGTACAGAAGAGATGTAGATGTAAAGAGGAAAAGTATGTTAGCGCTGATTATACAATGAGATCTTTAATAAGACCTTAAGTTACTTCAAAATATATTTTAAATATTATTTTAGATGTTAAATTTTTAATAATATTATATGTGTCTATATATTATCACATCTATGGTTTTACTGTTTATACTACAGCAAAACAGTTTCCTTTTAGGTTTATAAATATATCTTCTTATGTCATGTTAAAATTTTATTTTAACTTCACTGGCAGCATAAAATTTCTTAAAAATGTTCTTGTTTTGCCAATTTGGCTGCAATATCAATAAAACTACTAACACGTTTGTTTTTGTTAAATAAAATCTGAAGTTTAGAAAAATTTGGCAAAACATTTTTATGGTACATATTTGTGACTGCGGCTCTTTAAAAAAATTAAGAATTTTGAATTTTGTTTAGTGTAAAGAAGTTAAAGAAACAAAATATATATAAATTTAATATAAGGTGCTAAATAAGTTAAAATTGTATTTTGTCTGATTCAGAGGCCATGATGCTTCATTGATGCTCATTACAATGTGGAAACTTTTAAAATGTAGAAATAGAAATCAAATAAAATATTAGTTTATAAGTACATATTTATATATATATTTGTATATTGCCTGTATCATATTTGGTTCTTTCTTGCAACTTTAACGCGGTACTCTGCAAACTTCCATGGATATACGTATCATTTTGTAAATTTTTGTTTATTTTATCCTGTTTTAGACGTGTTTTATTTCGATATACTTCTTTTTGTTTTTTATACAAATATTCACGTCTTAAACGAGCTTCTCTTCGTAGCATTTTGTGCACTTAGTTTTTACTAGTTTAACTAATTTGAAAGAAATTCTAATATCAAATTCACGTTTTGCACTAAATTTTCGACGTTCCAATATTCAAATTAAAATCGAACACATGTTGACATTTGAACATCACGTTATGGGAATGAAACAAACAAAGAAATGTATATATAAAAAAAATTTCCAAAGAACATATCACAAGAGTGGAAGTTCTCTTATGAACTGTAACACATATTTTTAAGTTTGATTACAGTTTGATTATCAACCAAAGAACATCTTTTATAGACAAGTCAAAAAAATACTTGAATAATACTTTTTATGACATATTGTCACCTATATTGAATTGTATACCCTGGAATACAGAATTCCATTAGATATGAATATGTAAATCAGAATAAGAAAAATATACAACTGGTGTAATAATTAATTGTTGTTTTATTGAAAAATATTAAAACAATAAGAGTACTCTCTAATCTGATAAATGTTTTATAGACGTCATAATCGTAATTTATCTACCTGCTTAAATCGTTTACCCAAACTTTATAAATTTAAACGAACAATTTAATAAATAAATTTGTCGCATTTAAGTAACTGTGCAAAGCATTGATTGAATTAAAGAACCGTTGCCTTCTATGCTGGCAAATTCAATTAAAAAATGAAAGAGGTAAGTTTAAAACACATTTCTACAATTTTTGCGATTTTATATATCATTTACTGTTATTCAGTTCACACAAATATTTATTTGTGTGAACTTTTGGTTGAAAAAATTGCACTGCTGAGCAGTGCATTCTGTGCTGACATAATTTATTGACACCGTTACAACTGATTTATAAATTTACACACATATTACAATAACTGCATTTATATAACAATGTATACATAAAAATATATACATCATAAATTTATGTGCTTAGATGAGTGCGCTTATTATAAAGATGTCACGCATATGGTGCTGTAGTTGACTCTTAATATGAGTTTTTAAATATTTATTTAAAGTTTTTTTATTACTAACAATTATTTTTTTGCTCTGTTAAAAATCTAAAATTTTCTAAATCAAAATGTATTTACCTGAAAATTTGATTGTCAATTTCTATTTTTCAAAGTAAACTTCTCTTTTTAATAATGCCACATGAACGCCACAGTGTCACAGCAAGCAAACACTACTTGACAACAAAACCGTATCAGTTTGACATACATATATGACATATATTAAAATTTACATTTGAATAGGAAGATTTAAAACTAACGTTTTACTATATAGATCAATTACATAGTAGTTTATGTTATCTTCTTTGTCGAATTTAAAAGTAAAAGTATTCGTATGCGAATAAATATGTATATTATCCTATGTATAACTATACATATATACAAATATAAAATTGTATATAATTCTTTTTTTTTTCATTAAATAAAAAGTACTTTTATATACAGTATTTGAAATTTATTCTACGACTCGATCCATGGAGTGAGTTCAATTCAGCGAAAACAGTACTCAAATCGTTTAGTTATTTTATATACAGTATTACAAACACTAAATAAACTAAAATATTATTTACTCGTTACTGCCAAAGTAATGCTGGAAGAAAAAATAGTTTTATTATCAGCAAAAATTTTAAAACATTTCATGTCTGAGATGCCTTAATAAATTTAGTCGCTAATAATAATTTCTTATCCATCGCTTAATTATTCTTTCTTCTTCTTTTCGAGCTGCTTGAACGGAAGGTGGGTCCTGAAAATATATATTTAATTTTAATACATATAATTACATAGTTATTATTTACAGCAGGATTTGAAGAGCGTAAATCCAAATGGTGTGCACCTTCAGGAATTATTATTACGTTGAGATCATTATTTGCAGTTTCTAAAACTCCACCACCACTCCATGGGTCCAGAAGTCCATTGCTAAATATAATATTAGAAGTGAACCTAAATTTTTAATACAATTAAATGTTATTTTATCCAAAATATGTATATTGAGAATAACCTACTTCAAGTTTTTACCACCATATCTAAATGTAATGTCATTTAATTCAGGACGAATTTTAAAATTTTTATAACAATCATCAGAATATTTTGAAAAGTTCCATTCTGCATTTGGGAACATAGTATCTTTTGTATTAGAGCACATGGGTAGAACCAATTGATTACATGTTTGAATATCCCATGCCATTCCTCCAAGTGTGGTGTCAAATGCTGATTTATAATCAAGGCATTTTAAAGTCGTTGTAAAATTAGTATATACACTAATTGCTTTGTGCATCGCCTATAATAATGAAATATTTAATGTGGATATTTTTTTTAGTTAAGTCCAGCACAAACTTTCATTTCGCACGGAAAATTGGCATAAAACCATAAACATTTTTTAAAGTTTTACAGAGAATTTTTTCTTTTAAATAGAATTTTATATCATTTTTTCTTGCAAAATGTATGTTAGTACTAGATTTTACATATAAAAAGTGATTAATAATATCTGTAAGTATTTAATTTATATATTTAAAATTTTATGTTATTATTATACATACCAGCAAAAGCTCTTTATCTACGTGCAAGTCTTCCAACAATGTGCAAAATTGATAAACAGGATTTGCAGGTAATGGAGAAAGAAAATCATTTTCGTATGGATAATTTGCCATTGCGAGATTTTCATAAACGTCATTTAAATAATCTACAAATAATAACCGTTTCATTATTAATGAGTTCTTCAATATATATATATATATATATAAACTGTTAAATTCAACTACTACAGGAAGTTCTGTATGTTTATAAAATATATTGCGTATATAGTCAGAGAACACAAGATCGGTTTCACATCCGAATAAACAATTATCTGTGATTGTAGTAGCCGATGACCCTCACAACATTTGCTTGATCATGCGATGGGTATAAGTTAAAGATTGAGAACAGTGTTCACACTTTCTCATATTTATGCTTGTAAGTAACAGACACAAATAGTGTAAATAAAATGAATTCAATTCATTTCCACAAGTTATCGAATAAAAATAATACTCACCAAGGAAATGATTAAGGTCTTCTTCTTGTTTTAATGGATCACAAAATTTAAAAACTGCATTAAGTTCTTTTTTTCCATCTTCTTTTGAAAAGTATGTTCTGCAATTTTGAAAAAACATTTTATATATAAGATTATTAGTTATAAATAAATGTTTACTTTAAAGTACGAAAAGGATGAATATATTCGTTTATAAATAATATTAATGAACTACTATTGAACATATACAATATCAACAACAATATATATAGACAGGCAAGTATGTTAGTTTATATTAGGGGTATTCACTCTCTCTTGCAAGAAGCACGATGAATCAGCTGATTTTGCAGCCGTATCGCATTGGGCAAAGAAAAATAAAAGTATAACAATGCCGCGAACAATGAAAAACAAAAATTATAGTAATTTTAATTGAAAATAGAGCTTTTAATATTCTGACTAAAAGTATTAACATATAACATATAAATTTTGCTTCCGCCTGCAGAAATTCTATTATTTGGACCATTTCCCGCTCCGTCTTCCACTTTTATCTGAAAATAATTAGAAAATTTTAAATAACCAAATCTGTGCATTTCGTGCACATTGCAATGAGTGTGCAAGAGAGAGTGAATACCCCTATTATATTTGAAGTTTTTACACTGCAAATTAGATAAGTAGTAGTTATATGCTCTTCAATTCAAGCTTACGAGTTGAGATTTGTAGGAGGTTGCATTCTAAACTGCTTAAAACAGATAATTCCTTTTAAGGTGAGAAACTTGGAGGTTCTTCAATAATGTAATATGCTGCCAATGTCATATCAATACACATGATTAGGCGATATATTCTATGCAAGACAGTTTCGTTATTGGAAATTGATAAACTTCACTATCAAGTAAATACTATGGATATAGAAAGAAACATACAACAACATTCATGTTTTTAGAATTATGTCTTTGAGAATTGTTTTACATATTTACGTCAATTGTATTTCACCTAATTTGAATGTTTATTTTCTTTAAATGACCTGTTGTTCTCTATAGCATTGTCAATAAGTTATAAAATTAACCTTATTAAAAGGATGCTTAGAAAGAAATTATCCAGCGTTTTATATATATATTTCACAGATCACAAAACATTAATGAAACAAGTGGTTACAATAAGAAATCCAAATATATCAGATTCTCAACGGAAATTTTTTACTCAACGGATAATATTTCAAAAAAAAGCAAGCTGGTGAAAAAGCCGTTCTTATATTTTAATTAAGTTAATTCACAATTAGAAAATTAATTAAAATGTAAATTTAAATATAACATAAATATAAACAAAACATTAAAAAATATATATATAAGCAATGAACGTACCTGAATAAGTTCCAAGAATTTTTTATATTCGTACTACAATTTTTTGAGTATGATGTGTATATTGATGTTGTTATTTTAGAAAAAATATCACATGGTGTTATACCTTAAAAAAAAATAAAAAAATTAAATATTTAACTAAATATATCAATTAAAATAAATCGTTCATATTAAATTTATATTATTATTGATTCAAAGAAAATCATGGGCTGTGTGAATACATAAAAAAAGAATTATAGAACTTTACTTAAAATAATATATTATATACATTAATAAATAATGAAAGAGATAACAATAGTAATTAAGAATTCGAAAAAAACGTTATCTAACAAACGCAATGGAACAGCTATAAACAAAATTTAAGAAATAAATGATTTTTTCTCATTAGGAATCTTAAGTTTTAACAAAAATGTCCAACTTTTAAATGGATATGTTTTATTGTATACAAACTTTAAAACAAGCGGAAATATATAACTACTAAAGTAATAGTAGATTATTGTTTTACTCAAAAAATAGCAAAATAGAATACTCTATTCTATGTTCGGCATTTGCTGCGCTTCAGCTAATGATCTGGATCTTCTCTGCTGAAATGGTACGGATCATGAATTAAAGTATTTGGCATCGAATCATTTTGCAACAAAAATTTATTGCTGTAAATTTATAAAATGTTTTTCCACTTTATTTACGACCCCGTGCTTTTTTTTTATTTTTTACTGCACATTATGATATAAACAATCGCATTGCCAACGATATTTTTCATTACTCACGTTCCACTTTTATTTTACACATATATTCCACACTAAAACGGAATGTGAAGTAGCTCAATGCCTACTTCACAATATTGATATTGTTTTGCGTCAGTTGATTAGATCACTTTTTGATAAAACGCAGCAATTTTAACTGTATTTGTACTGATAGTAACAATTTTGTTTCTTTTAATTCGATTGAAAATTGTATAAGGCGATTGTTTAGCTCATTTTATTTACCATAATTTTAAAAGAAAATCATTCAGAGTTCGTAAAATATTTTGATTTTAAAAGCTAATTAATATTTAAATGCATTAGAGTATTTAAATAAGTATTCTTAAAATATTGAATTTATGTTACCATTAAATTGTAAAATTGGAGCTGATGCTGCTAAAGCACCCTCAATGATATGTGGATATTTCATACGCATCCATGCTGCTAACATTCCGCCATATGAACCGCCAAACGCTATCACGGGACGTCTATGATTAGCTAATAATGATTGTATCAATTTGCCATAATCTTCTAAGACCTGCTCAACAGATAAATATCCAAGATTTGATGTATCGTTAAAAGTGTTATCACCAAATGGTAAAGATTTTCCATAATATCTATGTTCCGCAAATATAACACTGGCTCTAAGGTTTTCTGCTAATTCCCACATAAAGCCGGTGTTTTTAGCAAACAATTCAATATCACCTTCATTGCCAGTGTAAAAGAATATGGGAGCTGAATCGCTTTTGTCAGCAAATGTATCGTTATATAAATATCGGAGATCGAAAGTTTTATTATTTACTAAATTAAAATGATCAACTGGTACTCGAAATTTTCGTATTTCGTACTGGGTTGTCCGCTTTTCAACATGTACTGGAGTAGCGCACCAAAATTGGCTTATTAAAATTAAGAACGTAATTATTTTCCAAAAATGCGAACTAATATTAGAGTTTCTAAACATTTCGTACTTTTCTAATGACAATCAGACGCGTACAAACTATATTCTTTGAATGGATTTGTCCCTTTAAGAACTGTGCTTAGCTAGAATCATTTTTAGGGAACAGATTGAGACTAAAACATGATATTTAAATCGTTTCTTTGTTTAATCTTGGCTGGTATTATCATTCTCGACTGAGATTCAAATGAAAATGCATTTTAGTATTAAATGCATTTCTGGTTGTTTGCTTTATTTTTGTTCAATTTATTTTAAATTGCTTCTGGTTGTAAGTTTCAGTATTAAGTGATAATGATAGAGATGGTCCGTTAATGTTACGAAACACAATAGCTGAAATTGCGTGAATATATATTTTAATTTTTATTTTTTTTGTTTTGTATCGAGAACATACTGTCCAGGATTTGTTGCTACTTTTGCCAAGACATTTACTATTTGCACTGTCATTTGTCGTATGCATTAATTTATTGAATCTATCCATTGGAATATTATAACAAGTTATCAAATCTTAAAGCTAGTATATTTCATTTTATTTTCTGTATAGAAAGTATATCATCACTAATTAGTTACAAAATAATTAGTTTTTGATATATCTTGACAGAAAATTATATAAACTCATAAAATTATTGACAACTATTAGTTTAATATAGGGCGTTTTTGGTGACTCGCAAGTGTGGAAAAAAAAAACGCATGCTGGCCTGTATTCGCTAAGCAAGACATTGGCATCACTGTTGCAATCTGTCAAGTGTTATGTCTTGGCATATAGCAAATTTTGCATATGTGCATATAATGCAAGCAAATTATATTTTGTATAAAAATAAATAGTTAATATAAAATTGATCATTAAAATAAGTACAGAATTAAAAGGAATGGTAAGAATGTTGGAAATTTCAAAATAAAACACTGAAATTTTTTCTTTTTTCCAATTTTCGAATTTATGAAATTTATTTGAATTTTTGTTTACATATGATATTTGATATGATATTTGATATTTGAGTTCGCTTATTAGGTTGGTAACACTTTTATCTTTACTGGTCAAAATTTTTGGCCAAATAAGAAAAATACTTTTGTTGTTTTGCGTACGTTTCAGCCAGTATAGGCCAGCAACTTGCTGTTTTTTGCCATACTTGCGAGTCATCGAAAAAGCTTATAGACAAACATTACCACTACACGCAAATGAAAAATCTATCCCTAGCTGCAATTCACACTTTTTTGTATAATGGTATTCTTGAAGTGCTAGTAAGTTTGTCGTGTTGAGTAAAAAATTAAAACGTGTTGAATATATTTTTAACAGCTGTTAGTGAAGAAATTCCTAACTGCAGCAAATGAGCATAAGACGCGAGCGGCAGCAAATTAAATAATCACTTTTGTAATAAATATTTTTTAATTAAACATTACAAATAATAATTATAGGTAATTAAAGACCTATTGTCTCCTGTCACAGTAGGAATGAGGTTATACCTACGTGTAAGCGGCTATAGTCTAATTTTGTTGTCCCTCCCGTTCCGTTAAAGCCCTAATAGCCCTCAAAATACGTTTTAGATTTGTCAGCACTATAATCGTGCAGGGTCGGTCGAGTTATGTTCCTGATTCGGCATATTTACAGGAATCATCTAGTGTAATCAGTGCACTTATCCGTCTGCCTGCAAAAGGGGAGGGAATTCTGCTGTTCCAATAATCTAGGACAGTAGTAACTGAGTGTGCTGAACATAAATGGAATTCAAATCTTTTGTTGAAAACTAAACTGGACTTAAAATTGACATTTTTGTAATAAAAAGATTAATACTATGTTACTCTCCAGGTTAACTGATGACAGATCTATTTAAAGCTTCTGATATCTGAACTGAATAATAATGGAATGCTAATAGCTGGTTTCTAATATGGATACGCTCGAACTTATTTGAAATACTAATTTCCCAGGAAGTGGAGTCTCCAGAGATTCTAAATTTTTCAGGCTGACTGACTCCACCATTTAACACAATTGGACCATACATACAATTAGAATGTACAAATATTCAAGTCCTTATGGTGTTATTTTTTCCACAGAGCAAATGCTTTTTACAAACCTGTCTTTTGAACATATACAATACCTGCCTCAGCTGTTACAGAACCACGAGGGTAGTATTCATCACTAAAGTAGGAAATGTAGCATTCTCGAAAACCATGGACCACAGACCGATAAGTTTGTCCTCTTTTTTCCTAAAAGTTCTGGAATGTGGAATTACATTCCATATCAGGAATGTAATTAATCCTACTCTTTTTCCTGCATTTCAACATGAATATACTAAAGGTAGTCTATGGAAATTGCACTTCATGCACCATTCTGAAGTCTTTTACCTTCAGAGAATAATATATTAAATATTATTCAATATTAATAAGATGTTCAATATTAGCTCTTAAAACTGAACTTTGCTAAAAAGGCGCATAAAGCACTATTTATCGCTATTAAACAATTGGTTCTGGATTGGGACTGCAATCTATATTTCTATACGAGGCTGTCTTTTTGTGCCAATCATATGTTAATACTGCTTATCTTACCAGTTGCCAGTTGTTGGATCTCTATATTTCATCATCACGAAAGCTCTATTCACATTGATTTATTAGTTGGCGATTAATTGGTTGGTTTCTGAGTTGCTAAGTCAACTTAGTTTTAATTAAAGCCAAAACACGTGTGTTTTATTTAATTATAAATTTTATTCAATTTTATTAATATGTTCAATATTTCGACATTTCATTGTTTTATAACTATACTTACGTAGACGTAAGTACTGCGGTAAAAAGGTTGATCACTGGATTGATATCGGAGCAATTACGAATAACAGGAGAAGTCGGCTGCAAGCTGCACTCTAGGGTGGATCGGAAAAGGTATCAGTCGGATGACCTGTTCATTTGAAAGTTCCCCACCAGATCAAGATCAGATGTTAGGTATGTTATGCTGCAAATAGCAGCAGTCGTGTGAGAGGGACCAACTAGTTAATATGTATGGGGAATGCTCGCTTATAAGGATGATTTCGGCAACTTTTTTTCTGTTTGAGGTTATGAAGGTCGGTTGATCCATATTAGCATTTACACAATTAAAAAGATACTCATCTCGCTCATTGATGTTGGATCTGCGCCATGTCTTACAATGATCATTAGCATAAGCTTCGATAATGACCGGAATCCTTTAATTATTAGTCTCTATTATCAGAAGTTTAATGAAGTCCCCTAATAAAAATGCACCATGGCCGTACTCTATGTATGTCGAATTATACTAAAGAGTCGTATTCGAAACCGCGACGAAACCGTTGATCAACCAATTGCGAAACGTACCGGGTGTTAGTGACTGTTCATTAAGAATGACAAAAGCTTCATGAAAGTCGCTCTTGGGGTCACTGACTCTTACGCCCTTCCAGTCATGACTTGGCAGTCATATAAGAATGAATAAGATTTCAGATTACAAGGAGCTTCATTAAAATTATATTAATATCATTAAACTTTGAAGCGAGGTTGTTGTAGGATTGTCCACAGAAACAGGTTATGCTGCGCACCAGGACTGCGTCATGAAAGATTGATCGGGAGCCAGATTGCAGTTTGCCCAAATTAGGTTTAGGTTCGGGACTTCGGTCAGAGGCTTGGAGGTAAAGGGTGTGGAAATTTTAAGCTTGGGACGGTTGGCAGACGGGTGTGATATGGTTAAATTTGGTTAGGAAGCAATTAGCTGACCTACGCGTCCTATAGCTCCTTGTTGCGAGAGTAACATGGGGACTTGCACTCGAGGATGTGGATTTGGTGCTATTTGCTGAAGTAAAGCTTGTTTGTTTTAACTGAGGCACCAGCAGGAGAGCAAGAGGCAGCTTTTCTTTCGTGTCAGAGGCACTTGAGGATATTGGACGTTGACTGGTGCCTGTGTGTCCGATCAGTTTTGAACGGCCCTCTGAGTGGTTTAATGCTTGTTATTTGGAGTTAAATTTGTATCTTTATTGTGTTCATTTTATATGGGTCTCCACTCTAATCTATTATCTGGATTCGTAAGTGTAGTCACTATAAAAAGATTCCGTGGTTATGTATGCAAATTCGATAAGTATTTTGATATTGATATTTGTTACAAGTCGGGAAAAGAACCATAACATCGATGTTTTAAGCAGATTGAGATGATGTACCTAAAAAAAAAATTACAAAGATCGTATGTGCTTGTAAGGCAATATCTAAAGACAGCAAAGAAAACAGTAAAACTGCAATATGTTATCTTGTACTATATTGCAAATGCATTGCAGTTGCTTAGATAGAAGACTGAGCATTGATTTGTATGCATCAAATTCGCTTATGAGACTAGGGGTATTCACTCTGTCTTGCAAACTCATCGCAAGGTGCACGAAATGCAAGAATGCTATACTTAAATTGCAAGAGTGCGAAAATACCTCTATTGCATAATTGCAACATTAAAATAAAACAATTGTTTTTGTAATAGTATCACATTCAACAACGAAAAGTAAAAGTATATAAAAAAGCTGCAACCTCTTATTTTTAATTGCTGGTATTCCGTGTTCCATTTTTTTCTGAAAATAATTAGAAAATTTTAAGCAATAGAAATTTATGTGATATTCTACCAAACTTACCTTTCGCTACCAAATTCCAATTTAAAAATGACAAGCAACAGATGTCATATTTTTGTGTTTTTTTTTGTTTCGTTGCAAGCATATAGACATGGATTTAGGTATAGGAAGATTGCAAGCAATTGCAAGAAAATTTGCTCATGTATTTTGCTGTTGTCGATTGCTTACTCGCGCAATTTGTGCATTTCGTAAATCTTGCAACAAGTTTGCAAGACAGAGTAAATACCCCTATTGTATTTCAATCATGTTGCAACAGTGTTCCAACCAACATGTTTCTTTCGTTCGGAAACGCTTTTTGCGCCGCAACGAATAAAACTTATTTGGAAGTAGAATCAAAATTGTTGGAATGACTGATGTTTCATTCGAGGAACAAGCAAAAATGCAGGGTTGAATTTAGAATTCTGAGTGTTTTTACAGTTTGATAGAAACTGGTAAAAAAACCTTTTTGAAATTTTATAAACACACTATTGTTATTTTCACTATTTTTCCATTTTTTGAATTTCAGCATTATATACACAAATCAATTTTATTTATTTCATTTCTTTCGTTTATGTTTATGCGAAAGAAATATGTCGGTATGAACGTCACTTTTTATTATTCATAACCAGTAAATATGTTTCGTGCACCGATGTGAACAACACGTAACCGTCATTGTTTGAAGAAATAGCACGACAGTAAATATATG